CACCCCAGAAAGTTTGCTCGTCCGCTGTGTCCTTTTTGCATACGTTTTGTGTCCATCAGCCACTGGGACCGGGCCTTTATCCGTAAAGCTGTCTGTTCTTATTAACTGTGCCGTTTCAATGAGGATACTCACGATGAGAGTAAAGTGGTCTGTTCTTATCATCACTTTCACTAAATTTAGCCTTTTATTGGTAATGGAAATTAAGTATGGTCGCCCGCTGTGTCCTTTTTGCATACGTTTTGTGTCCATCGGCCACTGGGACCGGGCCTTTATCCGTAAAGCTGTCTGTTCTTATTAACTGTGCCGTTTCAATGAGGATACTCACGATGAGAGTAAAGCGGTCTGTTCTTATCATCACTTTCACTAAATGTAGCCTTTTATTGGTAATGAAAGTTAAGTATGGTATAAAGGGCCAAGACTAGTTATCTCGTTATCTCATGATGGACAAAAGTAATACCTCTATTTATAGCAATTCTCTCTTCCTCCATGTTCAACCCTTCTACAAGAGAGTTGTTGCTGACTTGTTGGTCTAAAAATCGAAGAAGAGTGTTTGAATTTCCATTTTGTGCCAGGGTTTGTTGAATATTCATGGGTTTGTTAAATATTCATGAATTTGTTGAATATTCTTGATTTTATGACGGAAGGATCAGGAAGTAAACAGACATGATTTCGGGTGATCGCGTACTAAAATGACGTCACTGTTCATTTATTTATTTGACTAGGCCTTGCAAAAAAATCAAATTAGTTAACCCACTTCAATATTTTTATTAGACGATTGTGACATGTTGGGCTCTTTGTGGTTATAAAGATTAACATCCCTAGAATGTTTAAAAAAATATTACAGTCTGAGAAATGACATGGATTTAACATTACAGTCAATTGGGTAAGAATTACTAGTCTGACTCTATACAGAGCTGTTATGTTATATAATGACCCCCCCCCCCCATCACAAAATATAAAATAGCTATTTAAACTTTTCTTTGCCCTAAAACAAGAACTGAGAATATAAAGATATGTACACAGTATCCCTACCCCATACCCCCAAAAATACATAATTCAAATATATCTAAATTTAAATAACATCCAAACCAAGCACTAATAATAATAATAATCCACTAAACTTAAATACTTTCAAAAACTAAAAAGTGCTACAAAGTCATATTACAAGGGATTTGTGAGGCATCTAGAAATAACTAGCATACACAGAAAACTAACAAAAGAAAATGCACTATTTTGCAGGAGTAATAAAAAGATGTAGAATCCATTCCTCATTAAGAAAAACAACAAATAAAATGAATATTTTGTACATAAAGGAGCAAAGCATCAAGATTGCAATAAAAAATATATCAGTGAAAATAGCAAATATTGAATAACATGTACAAAATATTTATATACAATCACAAGTCATAAGCAAGGGGGAGCCACAGTGGTTCAGTGAGTATAAGGCGTTGGTCGAGAAATTTCCGGCATAGTTCCCACATGTCAGTAGTGTAGGACATGAAAGAGATAATTGGGTACAAGCCTGGAATCGAAACCACCCCCACTTCATTCACTTTAAAGAACCCTTGGCAATTGAATTATTTGTCTCAATGACAGACCATCCGATCCAATGTGCGCGTGTTAACCATTCGCCCCCCTTGGGTTCCCTTTAAAGAACCCTTGACAGTTGAAATATTTGATATAAGAGTGGGTTGTAGGGCAAAATCACCCTAATAACACAGGAAAGTAGGATATTAAACCCTATTTCGTTTCATAAGCAAGAGAAAGTCACCTTAATGTAGGTCAAGGTTTTTTTTTGTAATTTTGGGTATATTTGATCTATATTTGGTTTCTAAATAATGCCTATTAAATACTTTATGATTTCCGACCAAATTCTTAGTGATTTATATGTTACTTTATTTTCTATATTATACATAAGTTTCTAAAGAGAATTAAAATCTAATTGTGTTTGGGGAGAATATTTAACATTAAAAACAAAAAATAAATATTTTAAAATTGAGTCAAATCCATTCTTTTCCAGAATTATAAAATAAATTGATGCTTGGGTTCTCTTGTTGTTATCATGAAACAAATACTCTTCCCAGGGAAATCCGCCCTAAAAAATAAAAAGTAGGCAACAAGAATACTTTCTATGGTTCACAATTTTTAAATAAACAATTTATTTTGTCACATCGAGACTGAGTCTCTATTTTGTTTCAACTTTACGTAATATTTATTGTGTCTTGTCCAGTTACAGACCCAGGCAGATTATTATGCTCAAATCAAATGGGTTAGAAGTCAGAAAAAAGTCTTTTGATTTGGGACTGAAGTCTCAAAATAGGTCAACTATTCACCCGGTTCATACATGTATTGTGTCTCTAAATCCAGATTCCCTTCTACATCATGGCAGTGCATATTTACTTGGCAATGTCTAATTACTTTTGGGCCTATTCATATGGATATTACCTTTTAAAATCTATTGAAATCTATTTGAAAAGTAAAATATTGTCCACCATTTTTTTACTGCTATTTACTGTAAAAATACATGAGACGGTGAGAGGATATCTGACATTTCAAAAAATGAATTGGCTGTCATTAGATAAATGATAACGAACAAATTAGAAAACGTCCGTGCATTACCATGTTTTTATTAAGAACAGAATGAATAAAAACGGGGGAATGCACGGTATTTTCCTATTTTTCTCGTTTTCCCTTATCTACTAGCTCATGACAGCCAATTCTATTTTTGAATTGTGAGATACCCTCTCACCGTCCCATATAATAACTTTTCAACTTCAACAGAATTATCAGTGAAATGAAATTCGATCATTTGTCTGTTATCGCTCGTTACATCAGTCAGATACATAGAAGGATAACTCGTGTTTGTCATGTTTGGCGTCACTTCCAGTTACTTCACGTGCTTGTTACACATCTCCCGTAACAATGATCTCTGTGTGAAAATTATATAAAAGATAACGAACAAATTAGAAAAAGTCCGTGCATTACCATGTTTTTATTAAGAACAGAATGAATAAAACGGGGGAATGCACGGGATTTTTCTATTTTTCTCGTTTTCCCTTATCTACTAGCTAGTGACAGCCAATTCTATTTTTGAATTGTGAGATACCCTCTTACCGTCCCATATAATAACTTTTCAACTTCAACAGAATTATCAGTGAAATGAAATTCGATCATTTGTCTGTTATCGCATCAGTCAGATACATAGAAGGATAACTCGTGTTTGTCATGTTTGGCGTCACTTCCAGTTTTTTCACGTGCTTGTTACACATCTCCCGTAGCAATGATCTCTGTGTGAAAAGTATATTTGGAATGTATTTAACCAGTTCTATCACATATGTAATCATGACTGACACCAATATTGTCCTTTAAGTAAAGGTCTCCTCATGACACCACATACTTCTCTATTCTCATCTCATTTCCCATCCCAATCACACAATGCAGCACGTAGTTCTTATTTCATATATATATACATTTCCAATATATATATATATATATATATATATATATATATATATATATATATTGGAAATGCCTTATGATCCCCGTAGTGGGTGAAAGCGCTAGCTAAGATGAAATTAGTTTTTTCTTTCTAAAAACCTCACTTTTCTATATACTTTTACCTGAGAGTAGAATCTTTTATTTATTTTATATATATATATATTTTTAGAATACTTCATATAAACCAACGAAGAAATGGACAGAGAAATTCTATAACTGTGCGAATCTATATCAGAAAGAATCCAGCGTGGGTTCTTATTCTCAACTGGTCAATGCCCCCATTGGCGTGCCAAGCGTGCCGGGAGGGGGGTGGGGAGTAATAAGTGGGTAGGTTGATTAAACATAGGACACATAAGAAGGTGGAGGTGCAGTGCCCATGGAAGATTTGGTTCTGTGGCACATGCTAGATTTGATTCAACGTATATCTGAGCCATGATATACCATGCACTGGCACTTGGTTGGTAAATTACAATATGTATATTCGGTTAGTACTAGTATAACAGTTTAAAATCAACTCTGTTTAGTTAATAGATTAATCTGTATTCAGTGAGTACTAGTTTAACAGTATAAAATCAACTCAGTCTAGTTAATAGGTTAATCTGTGAGTACTAGTTTAACAGGTTAAAATCAACTCAGTCTAGCTAATAGATTAATCTTTTACCCAGTAAGTACAAGTTTAACAGTTTAAAATCAACTCAATCTGGTTAATAGAGTAATCTCTATTCAGTGAGTACTATTATAACAGTTTAAAATCATCTCAGCTTAGTTAATAGATCAATCTGTATTCGGCGTGTACTAGTGTAGCCAGTATATTAATCGATATTCAGTGAGTACTGATTAGACGAACAGTTTTTAATATGTAAATAATCCACAGGTCCAGCCAGCTATATGGTTTTTACTGCGAGCCCTTCGCTTTTCTACATAAAGCAAGCGGAAAAAATGAAATGAAATGGGGTTTAACGTCCTACTGTTCTGCTCCTATGCTGGGCTAATGAAGACGGGCATACGCCATACAGTGTACTATGAGGGAAATTTTGCCCGTGCAGCGGCACTATCGCCTACTCTTACATCGAATTCCAACTTCCAAGGGATCTTTTACGTGCATTCTAATGTATACACGAGACCTCGGTTTTTGTCTCATCCGAAGGACTAGACAGCTGTCCTGGTCAGGCCCTTCGTCCTGCATCACTGACAAGGGGGAACCACGCCGGAAAATCTGGATGAACTTTCTCAGCCAATGCAGAGATCGAACACCAGACCTCCAGGCTAGCGAGCCAGTGTCTTACCCACCTAGACACGTGATCCCTTCCCCACGTGAAGATGACCAGCACTCTCTTCTCACGACAGCGATTTTATAAGTGATATGCAAGGACTCTTTTATTCTGTGTTTTTACCAATTTTGAGGTGACTTTTGATGTGTAAATAATTTAATTAAATCAACCTGTCCATAATATCATATTAATGTATTGGACGTTAAATCTTTAATAAACAACAACAACGAGTACTAGTTTAACAGTTTAACATCATATCATTTTAGTTAATAGATCAATCGGTATGCGATGACTAATGGTAAAATCATCTTAGTTATAGTTAATAGATTAATATGTATTCGGACAGTATTAATGTAACAGGGTTTTGTTTTTTCCCAAATGTCGTCGTTGATAACTTCTTAGATAACTATGTGAATAGTGACGTAATGGATCAACCGATTACTGGGACTGAAATAAGAGAAAATAGTAAAGATACATTATGGGAGATTAGACAAAGAGCTGCCAGTTCTCACTATAATAGTTAAAAACTAGACAATTTAAAGGGAATTTGGTGAAAATTTCAGTCGATTGAATTTTAGCGATTGAATTTTCGACCTAGCCTCGATCATCATTACTAAAGTCAGCACGATAAAAGCATAGTCTCGATTATCAATAGTCTAGATTTAGCTCTTGCATAATGCATGTTTAAACAGTTACCTTCAAATAAAGCACCAGCTTGTGCCAACATTAAAAATGAGATTCTAAAATATTTTGAGACTGAACTTATACCATATCTACTTAAAATATTTAATAACATTCTTGTTTCTAGATATTACCCGTCATCTTCGGCCGTTGGGAATATCGTACCGGTTTTCAAAAAAGAGAAACTGAACAACCCCGATAATTTTAGAGAAATTACAATTGTATCTTGTTTGGGGAAATTTGATAAACACAATAACAACATATTGAAACAACGACTTTATGGATAACAATCACTAGCAACTTTAATAGTGCAACATTTCAACAAGTATATCCTCTTGTCGTTTCCAAGCACAAGGTAAACGATGATATGATGCAAAAAGCTTGGAGTGAGCATTCATGTAAAAGGAGCCACAAAGACCAAAATTGATATTCTGTTTAAAAAACATATAAAAAACAAAGACTGTATAAATGGAGTTATTCCAATTCTTGTCGGATTCGAGCGTTATCAAACAGTTTGTTTCTTGCATTTATGAGGCCCAGCAGCCTCTGAAAGCTCGTATGTTTAAATGGTAGTATCCAATCCAACGTGTACACGGGACAACGTTTTTTGTACAATCCGAACGACTAGACACTGTTCCTTGCCAGGCATTTCGTACTGCACCATTAATAAAGGGAAACAGCCTGGAAACTCCCGCCATCACCATTATGGGTGGCCGGTACTTTCTACTACTTTTTAGTGAACTCGCGCCTCATTCACTGAGGAACCATAAGTTTTATCAGTTCATTATTCCATCTGTAGCATTACGTCTATATGGGACCCCGGCCTGGATAATATAATTAAAAACAGTTTATTATCTCTATTAAAATCTATAGCCCGTATAGGAATCAGGATACTTAGCCATCATAAATTGGTTACTTCGGAGAGCCCAAAATATCTCTTTAACATAAGCAACTTAGCAGGCTATGGTAACCAACAAAAAATAAGGAAAAATACTAACACCCTACATTTAGGTAGGAATCACCCCAGATATATCCGTGCTTATTTGTCACATTACACTGGATAACCATATCATCATCACTCGTCAGGTTAACCATCATCACAGTATCAGGTCCTAAAACTTTAAATCTACCATTCTTTACTCGGGGATCTGTTACCTCTGCAAAAATATAATAAATCTCTATATATAACATTTGAAGGTTGAAAAAAACCTTGCAATCAGCAGATTTAGCTCTTGCATAATGCATCTTTAAACATTATTAAAATCTTGGAAATGACAATCAATGAAACTCCCCAGGCCAGTTCAGTTCTACAAATATCTATAATGTGTTTACTTACTTGCTAAAGGAACACCATTAATAAACCATTTTGTATCTGGCTCTGGATTACCCTGAGCCTTACATACAAAAGTTGCAGAACCACCAATGCCAACTTCTACATCGTCTGGACCATTATCTGTCCAGTATGGTCTTGCTGAGAAATAAAACCCATAATATTTGTTATTATTATTGACTGACAACCGAGTTATTTTGGGACAAACACCCGATAAACATTTATATTTCAAAAATTTACTTTGTTCACCTACGAGGTTAACCAGAAGACTATGTACACCTCATACACACACAGTTAGGGTTGCATAAATAATAACAGACTGTATGATCTGCAGTGAGATCAACAAGCTACCCAATCCCCATTCAAAGACTCACAGAGGACATACGCGACCTGCAAGATCAAAAATAAGAAAATTTCTTACATTCAACACGTAAAGAAAATAAATTACGTGCCGCTTGAGGACTTATGGAATTGGTAGCCAAACATTCATATTCTCCAGCATCGCTATCCAACAGCTTCGGAAAAACCAATTCTTGGCCAAAACTAGTTATCTGAATTCCTTCTGGCATAGCTCCACCTTTGGTTCTTGTCCAATGTATATCAGGGGTAGGGCTAAAATAAATTCAAACAAGTACGATCGTACTATGGACCAGAAACTGACCATGTTGTAAGGGCGTTGTGACCCATGAACAAGATCCCGTCCGGGCCCCGAAAAACAATATTTATATATCGAGAGGGTGGGTTGGCAGTCCCTCCCAGTGTCACCGGGCAATAGTGGGCTGCGTGGAACATGTTTGAGTCGATTTGTAGCATATCTGACCCACGGTATATGATTGACACTGGTTGAGCATTATGATTATGATTATAATGTTGAAAACCGCATGATTTTTTGCCATTTGCGAGTAGGCGCAAAAACTCAAAGGGGGCGCACAAACCCTAAACCATGACGCAAAGCTCGTCATTGCACCCCTCTCACCAAAAATCTAATTCACCAAAGCGATGGAAAATTGTTCAAAGAACAAGTTTGCCAATTTTCATGTCGATCGGACTTGAATTGGCTGAGTCTTAGGCTTTTTCAAAAAACGTCACCCAAAGAAGAACAAGAACAAGGAAAGTAGCGGTTAGCGACCAGTTCCTAGAAACATGAAAATAATTGAAACCCGTGTACACATTGGTATGTGCATACATTTTTTTCGAAGGAAGAATTGATAGAAATACTGTAGTACTGGCAAAATTCTCTTTACTATCATTACACATCTGACAATAGTAAATAAAATTAACAGTATGTTATTCTCAAAATGACTGTATTGTGGTTTTTGTATTCTTTTAAAATCACTTACTTTCCAGAGAAAATACACTTTAGTTTAAACTCTTCCCCACGAAGACCGTAATGATCAGCAGGTGACGCCCACATATAGGTTACAGTATGCAAAGTCTCCACAGCTAAAATATAAAATTCAAACGACTTTTCAGTTATAAACAAATACATTATCTGTAATATGTTCTGTAGCAAACCAGCAGCCTAAATAAAATCTTTTTCTTGTTTGTCTCAATATTATTTGCAAAACACAAAACTAAATATCCTTTAGTATTTTCAAACAAATAACAGCGATTGTTTTTCTCAAGATCACATATGGCAATCGTTGACTTCTTTTGCAAACGATTTCTTCAAATAAAATGTTTGTCCACCGAGGAAAGGTTAACACACACAAAAAATGTTGAATTCCACAAAAAGGAGAATTCCACAAAAAGCAGAATTCCACAAATTAAAGATGCCTTCTTCCCACGTACAACTCTGCGATTTGATATATTTGGACTAAAACATATTTAAACTAATTCATATATCTAAAGCTTTTTTTTAAAGCCCTTTAAAACATTTCAATGAGAAGAAAATCACCCCAAGCTGTAAATTTAAGCAGCTTTGTTTGTAACATGACTTGATTGGGGAGAATCTATTTTCAGCTTGTACAGTTTGTCGTTATTAGCTGAATATTTATCATATCTATGCTAAATTCTTAGATTATCCTCTGCCAACAACTTTTTCCTCCAATTAATTGCAATGTCTGCAGTATGTTTAAGTCTCTTAATGTTCTCACAGCTTGTGATCCCCTTATCTATATCTGAGAATCTAGTATTTTTTTTTAGTAAGATTGGGTGCATCTACTTTCCATATGTAGCATATTTGACATAATTTTATTGGAAATTTTAATGGGAATTTATCTTTAAACAAATAAATATCGGAATCAAAATATTCACTGTAAATTTGAAAATAAGGGTGTTTAACTTAAATACTTACTTCCTCTGGGTTGGATAAAATTTGGAACTCCAGACACAACTTTTCGTACATCTTGATTTAAAGCAATACATGTATAAGCACGACCATATTGTCTGTCCTCAGCCTTTACATTGGTTATTCGTAGACGAGCTTATGAAAGAAAAACCACATTGTTCATAGAGGCAAAATTAATCATCTCCGAAATATGCTCGATTAAAAGGGCTAAACCTGTACGTAGCTCAATATTTTCATAAAATACGAAATTATTAAAATCGAATTAAAAAATTGAACATTGGACCATTTCAATCAATATTTCAATCAAAATATTGATGTCGTTATCTTGCCCTGAAATTATGGATTCCTTATGTCGAATATTTAAGATATAATGAACATGTTAAAATCAGAACACGAGTGCCATTTGTAATGAACAAAGAAAATTATGTCCAATGCAGAAGTAATTAGTAATGGCTGATTCACAAACGATAAAATCATAATAAAGAAAACGGACTTATCAAGAGTGAAAGACCGCTGTTTAATTTGGACTATTTGCGTAGTTCACCGAACAATATTGATTAGATATTACAATAACAAATTTCAAAAATTGAATATAAATCACTTTATATTACATTAATATGTGCGTTTAGACCCATTTTCGTCTATTTAAAAGTTCTAAAAATTAGAGCCATGCCCTCTTTAACGAAATAACAGATAATGAAGGATAACTAGACAACCAAACAAGAATATAGACAGGAGCCTGTCATAACCCCCTAAACGCCCTTTTCAATATCGCATTCTCAGGTACAGATAACCCTACTAAGCAATCCAAAATTTACACGATTCCACTATTTACAAACTTGATAAGACTCTTTCTTATTCCACAATGGGCAATCCCACGTAGTTTGTAAACAGAAAGATATTGGTAAACACTTTAAAAACTTTATGAAAAAATGGTTGCCATGCAAGATACGCCCACATTGTTCAAGACATGGACAGAAAACCAGCTGGTAAAGCATACAATAAGCAATCATAATCCAGGGTGTTACAGTCCGACATGTTTCAATATCAAAAGGAACAAAAGGAACCAAAATCTTTTGGATACAAACATACATTTTAAGTTTCATCAAAATCGGAAACAAATTGTGACCTCTAGAGTGTCCACAAACTAACGACACAATTTTTTTACAATTGGGGCCATAATACATGATGTTACTATCCGATGCATGCCAATATCTTTGGGATATAAATCTATTTGAAGGTTCTCAAAATCGGATAAAATTGTGACATCCGCTCCAGCTGAAAACGGAAAGAGTGAGGAAAAATAAGGTACATGGAACGTCTATACATCGTTAGTAGCACGGAATAGAAAGGATGTAAGCGTATGCATCTCGTATATAAAGTTTTCAAAACGGACAAAGCGTTTGTATCAGGGATGTATCTGGTATACTGAAGGATGTCTGGAGTTTGCCTAACCTCTTCGGAGCTGTCTTCCACTTCCATCCGCTAGGCTTCCGATGAACATCCATTTAACACCCCCGCTACATACTTCCCACGTTCGTTCTTTTCCGTTCTGTTTTCGCAAATTTTCGTCAATTTTGTCCATTTCTGGAGCGGATGAAAACGGATGGAGCCACCCCAGAAAGTTTGCTCGTCCGCTGTGTCCTTTTTGCATACGTTTTGTGTCCATCAGCCACTGGGACCGGGCCTTTATCCGTAAAGCTGTCTGTTCTTATTAACTGTGCCGTTTCAATGAGGATACTCACGATGAGAGTAAAGTGGTCTGTTCTTATCATCACTTTCACTAAATTTAGCCTTTTATTGGTAATGGAAATTAAGTATGGTCGCCCGCTGTGTCCTTTTTGCATACGTTTTGTGTCCATCGGCCACTGGGACCGGGCCTTTATCCGTAAAGCTGTCTGTTCTTATTAACTGTGCCGTTTCAATGAGGATACTCACGATGAGAGTAAAGCGGTCTGTTCTTATCATCACTTTCACTAAATGTAGCCTTTTATTGGTAATGAAAGTTAAGTATGGTATAAAGGGCCAAGACTAGTTATCTCGTTATCTCATGATGGACAAAAGTAATACCTCTATTTATAGCAATTCTCTCTTCCTCCATGTTCAACCCTTCTACAAGAGAGTTGTTGCTGACTTGTTGGTCTAAAAATCGAAGAAGAGTGTTTGAATTTCCATTTTGTGCCAGGGTTTGTTGAATATTCATGGGTTTGTTAAATATTCATGAATTTGTTGAATATTCTTGATTTTATGACGGAAGGATCAGGAAGTAAACAGACATGATTTCGGGTGATCGCGTACTAAAATGACGTCACTGTTCATTTATTTATTTGACTAGGCCTTGCAAAAAAATCAAATTAGTTAACCCACTTCAATATTTTTATTAGACGATTGTGACATGTTGGGCTCTTTGTGGTTATAAAGATTAACATCCCTAGAATGTTTAAAAAAATATTACAGTCTGAGAAATGACATGGATTTAACATTACAGTCAATTGGGTAAGAATTACTAGTCTGACTCTATACAGAGCTGTTATGTTATATAATGACCCCCCCCCCCATCACAAAATATAAAATAGCTATTTAAACTTTTCTTTGCCCTAAAACAAGAACTGAGAATATAAAGATATGTACACAGTATCCCTACCCCATACCCCCCAAAATACATAATTCAAATATATCTAAATTTAAATAACATCCAAACCAAGCACTAATAATAATAATAATCCACTAAACTTAAATACTTTCAAAAACTAAAAAGTGCTACAAAGTCATATTACAAGGGATTTGTGAGGCATCTAGAAATAACTAGCATACACAGAAAACTAACAAAAGAAAATGCACTATTTTGCAGGAGTAATAAAAAGATGTAGAATCCATTCCTCATTAAGAAAAACAACAAATAAAATGAATATTTTGTACATAAAGGAGCAAAGCATCAAGATTGCAATAAAAAATATATCAGTGAAAATAGCAAATATTGAATAACATGTACAAAATATTTATATACAATCACAAGTCATAAGCAAGGGGGAGCCACAGTGGTTCAGTGAGTATAAGGCGTTGGTCGAGAAATTTCCGGCATAGTTCCCACATGTCAGTAGTGTAGGACATGACAAGAGATAATTGGGTACAAGCCTGGAATCGAAACCACCCCCACTTCATTCACTTTAAAGAACCCTTGGCAATTGAATTATTTGTCTCAATGACAGACCATCCGATCCAATGTGCGCGTGTTAACCATTCGCCCCCCTTGGGTTCCCTTTAAAGAACCCTTGACAGTTGAAATATTTGATATAAGAGTGGGTTGTAGGGCAAAATCACCCTAATAACACAGGAAAGTAGGATATTAAACCCTATTTCGTTTCATAAGCAAGAGAAAGTCACCTTAATGTAGGTCAAGGGTTTTTTTTGTAATTTTGGGTATATTTGATCTATATTTGGTTTCTAAATAATGCCTATTAAATACTTTATGATTTCCGACCAAATTCTTAGTGATTTATATGTTACTTTATTTTCTATTTTATACATAAGTTTCTAAAGAGAATTAAAATCTAATTGTGTTTGGGGAGAATATTTAACATTAAAAACAAAAAATAAATATTTTAAAATTGAGTCAAATCCATTCTTTTCCAGAATTATAAAATAAATCGAACAAATTAGAAAACGTCCGTGCATTACCACGTTTTTATTAAGAACAGAATGAATAAAAACGGGGGAATGCACGGGATTTTTCTATTTTTCTCGTTTTCCCTTATCTACTAGCTAATGACAGCCAATTCTATTTTTGAATTGTGAGATACCCTCTCACCGTCCCATATAATAACTTTTCAACTTCAACAAAATTATCAGTGAAATGAAATTCGATCATTTGTCTGTTATCGCTCGTTACATCAGTCAGATACATAGAAGGATAACTCGTGTTTGTCATGTTTGGCGTCACTTCCAGTTACTTCACGTGCTTGTTACACATCTCCCGTAACAATGATCTCTGTGTGAAAATTATATAAAAGATAACGAACAAATTAGAAAAAGTCCGTGCATTACCATGTTTTTATTAAGAACAGAATGAATAAAACGGGGGAATGCACGGGATTTTTCTATTTTTCTCGTTTTCCCTTATCTACTAGCTAGTGACAGCCAATTCTATTTTTGAATTGTGAGATACCCTCTTACCGTCCCATATAATAACTTTTCAACTTCAACAGAATTATCAGTGAAATGAAATTCGATCATTTGTCTGTTATCGCATCAGTCAGATACATAGAAGGATAACTCGTGTTTGTCATGTTTGGCGTCACTTCCAGTTTCTTCACGTGCTTGTTACACATCTCCCGTAGCAATGATCTCTGTGTGAAAAGTATATTTGGAATGTATTTAACCAGTTCTATCACATATGTAATCATGACTGACACCAATATTGTCCTTTAAGTAAAGGTCTCCTCATGACACCACATACTTCTCTATTCTCATCTCATTTCCCATCCCAATCACACAATGCAGCACGTAGTTCTTATTTCATATATATATACATTTCCAATATATATATATATATATATATATATATATATTGGAAATGCCTTATGATCCCCGTAGTGGGTGAAAGCGCTAGCTAAGATGAAATTAGTTTTTTCTTTCTAAAAACCTCACTTTTCTATATACTTTTACCTGAGAGTAGAATCTTTTATTTATTTTATATATATATATTTTTAGAATACTTCATATAAACCAACGAAGAAATGGACAGAGAAATTCTATAACTGTGCGAATCTATATCAGCGTGGGTTCTTATTCTCAACTGGTCAATGCCCCCATTGGCGTGCCAAGCGTGCCGTGAGGGGGGTGGGGAGTAATAAGTGGGTAGGTCGATTAAACATAGGACACATAAGAAGGTGGAGGTGCAGTGCCCATGGAAGATTTGGTTCTGTGGCACATGCTAGATTTGATTCAACGTATATCTGAGCCATGATATACCATGCACTGGCACTTGGTTGGTAAATTACAATATGTATATTCGGTTAGTACTAGTATAACAGTTTAAAATCAACTCCGTTTAGTTAATAGATTAATCTGTATTCAGTGAGTACTAGTTTAACAGTATAAAATCAACTCAGTCTAGTTAATAGGTTAATCTGTGAGTACTAGTTTAACAGGTTAAAATCAACTCAGTCTAGCTAATAGATTAATCTTTACCCAGTAAGTACAAGTTTAACAGTTTAAAATCAACTCAATCTGGTTAATAGAGTAATCTCTATTCAGTGAGTACTATTATAACAGTTTAAAATCATCTCAGCTTAGTTAATAGATCAATCTGTATTCGGCGTGTACTAGTGTAGCCAGTATATTAATCGATATTCAGTGAGTACTTATTAGACGAACAGTTTTTAATATGTAAATAATCCACAGGTCCAGCTATATGGTTTTTACTGCGAGCCCTTCGCTTTTCTACATAAAGCAAGCGGAAAAAATGAAATGAAATGGTGTTTAACGTCCTACTGTTCTGCTCCTATGCTGGGCTAATGAAGACGGGCATACGCCATACAGTGTACTATGAGGGAAATTTTGCCCGTGCAGCGGCACTATCGCCTACTCTTACATCGAATTCCAACTGCCAAGGGATCTTTTACGTGCATTCTAATGTATACACGAGACCTCGGTTTTTGTCTCATCCGAAGGACTAGATAGCTGTCCTGGTCAGGCCCTTCGTCCTGCATCACTGACAAGGGGGAACCACGCCGGAAAATCGGGATGAACTTTCTCAGCCAATGCAGAGATCGAACACCAGACCTCCAGGCTAGCGAGCCAGTGTCTTACCCACCTAGACACGTGATCCCCTTCCCCACGTGAAGATGACCAGCACTCTCTTCTCACGACAGCGATTTTATAAGTGATATACAAGGACTCTTTTATTCTGTGTTTTTACCAATTTTGAGGTGACTTTTGATGTGTAAATAATTTAATCAAATCAACCTGTCCATAATATCATATTAATGTATTGGACGTTAAATCTTTAATAAACAACAACAACGAGTACTAGTTTAACAGTTTAACATCATATCATTTTAGTTAATAGATCAATCGGTATGCGATGACTAATGGTAAAATCATCTTAGTAATAGTTAATAGATTAATATGTATTGTGACAGTATTAGTGTAACAGGGTTTTGTTTTTTCCCAAATGTCGTCGTTGATAACTTCTTAGATAACTATGTGAATAGTGACGTAATGGATCAACCGATTACTGGGACTGAAATAAGAGAAAATAGTAAAGATACATTATGGGAGATTAGACAAAGAGCTGCCAGTTCTCACTATAATAGTTAAAAACTAGACAATTTAAAGGGAATTTGGTGAAAATTTCAGTCGATTGAATTTTAGCGATTGAATTTTCGACCTAGCCTAGATCATCATTACTAAAGTCAGCACGATAAAAGCATAGTCTCGATTATCAATAGTCTAGATTTAGCTCTTGCATAATGCATGTTTAAACAGTTACCTTCAAATAAAGCACCAGCTTGTGCCAACATTAAAAATGAGATTCTAAAATATTTTGAGACTGAACTTATACCATATCTACTTAAAATATTTAATAACATTCTTGTTTCTAGATATTACCCGTCATCTTCGGCCGTTGGGAATATCGTACCGGTTTTCAAAAAAGAGAAACTGAACAACCCCGATAATTTTAGAGAAATTACAATTGTATCTTGTTTGGGGAAATTTGATAAACACAATAACAACATATTGAAACAACGACTTTATGGATAACAATCACTAGCAACTTTAATAGTGCAACATTTCAACAAGTATATCCTCTTGTCGTTTCCAAGCACAAGGTAAACGATGATATGATGCAAAAAGCTTGGAGTGAGCATTCATGTAAAAGGAGCCACAAAGACCAAAATTGATATTCTGTTTAAAAAACATATAAAAAACAAAGACTGTATAAATGGAGTTATTCCAATTCTTGTCGGATTCGAGCGTTATCAAACAGTTTGTTTCTTGCATTTATGAGGCCCAGCAGCCTCTGAAAGCTCGTATGTTTAAATGGTAGTATCCAATCCAACGTGTACACGGGACAACGTTTTTTGTACAATCCGAACGACTAGACACTGTTCCTTGCCAGGCATTTCGTACTGCACCATTAATAAAGGGAAACAGCCTGGAAACTCCCGCCATCACCATTATGGGTGGCCGGTACTTTCTACTACTTTTTAGTGAACTCGCGCCTCATTCACTGAGGAACCATAAGTTTTATCAGTTCATTATTCCATCTGTAGCATTACGTCTATATGGGACCCCGGCCTGGATAATATAATTAAAAACAGTTTATTATCTCTATTAAAATCTATAGCCCGTATAGGAATCAGGATACTTAGCCATCATAAATTGGTTACTTCGGAGAGCCCAAAATATCTCTTTAACATAAGCAACTTAGCAGGCTATGGTAACCAACAAAAAATAAGGAAAAATACTAACACCCTACATTTAGGTAGGAATCACCCCAGATATATCCGTGCTTATTTGTCACATTACACTGGATAACCATATCATCATCACTCGTCAGGTTAACCATCATCACAGTATCAGGTCCTAAAACTTTAAATCTACCATTCTTTACTCGGGGATCTGTTACCTCTGCAAAAATATAATAAATCTCTATATATAACATTTGAAGGTTGAAAAAAACCTTGCAATCAGCAGATTTAGCTCTTGCATAATGCATCTTTAAACATTATTAAAATCTTGGAAATGACAATCAATGAAACTCCCCAGGCCAGTTCAGTTCTACAAATATCTATAATGTGTTTACTTACTTGCTAAAGGAACACCATTAATAAACCATTTTGTATCTGGCTCTGGATTACCCTGAGCCTTACATACAAAAGTTGCAGAACCACCAATGCCAACTTCTACATCGTCTGGACCATTATCTGTCCAGTATGGTCTTGCTGAGAAATAAAACCCATAATATTTGTTATTATTATTGACTGACAACCGAGTTATTTTGGGACAAACACCCGATAAACATTTATATTTCAAAAATTTACTTTGTTCACCTACGAGGTTAACCAGAAGACTATGTACACCTCATACACACACAGTTAGGGTTGCATAAATAATAACAGACTGTATGATCTGCAGTGAGATCAACAAGCTACCCAATCCCCATTCAAAGACTCACAGAGGACATACGCGACCTGCAAGATCAAAAATAAGAAAATTTCTTACATTCAACACGTAAAGAAAATAAATTACGTGCCGCTTGAGGACTTATGGAATTGGTAGCCAAACATTCATATTCTCCAGCATCGCTATCCAACAGCTTCGGAAAAACCAATTCTTGGCCAAAACTAGTTATCTGAATTCCTTCTGGCATAGCTCCACCTTTGGTTCTTGTCCAATGTATATCAGGGGTAGGGCTAAAATAAATTCAAACAAGTACGATCGTACTATGGACCAGAAACTGACCATGTTGTAAGGGCGTTGTGACCCATGAACAAGATCCCGTCCGGGCCCCGAAAAACAATATTTATATATCGAGAGGGTGGGTTGGCAGTCCCTCCCAGTGTCACCGGGCAATAGTGGGCTGCGTGGAACATGTTTGAGTCGATTTGTAGCATATCTGACCCACGGTATATGATTGACACTGGTTGAGCATTATGATTATGATTATAATGTTGAAAACCGCATGATTTTTTGCCATTTGCGAGTAGGCGCAAAAACTCAAAGGGGGCGCACAAACCCTAAACCATGACGCAAAGCTCGTCATTGCACCCCTCTCACCAAAAATCTAATTCACCAAAGCGATGGAAAATTGTTCAAAGAACAAGTTTGCCAATTTTCATGTCGATCGGACTTGAATTGGCTGAGTCTTAGGCTTTTTCAAAAAACGTCACCCAAAGAAGAACAAGAACAAGGAAAGTAGCGGTTAGCGACCAGTTCCTAGAAACATGAAAATAATTGAAACCCGTGTACACATTGGTATGTGCATACATTTTTTTCGAAGGAAGAATTGATAGAAATACTGTAGTACTGGCAAAATTCTCTTTACTATCATTACACATCTGACAATAGTAAATAAAATTAACAGTATGTTATTCTCAAAATGACTGTATTGTGGTTTTTGTATTCTTTTAAAATCACTTACTTTCCAGAGAAAATACACTTTAGTTTAAACTCTTCCCCACGAAGACCGTAATGATCAGCAGGTGACGCCCACATATAGGTTACAGTATGCAAAGTCTCCACAGCTAAAATATAAAATTCAAACGACTTTTCAGTTATAAACAAATACATTATCTGTAATATGTTCTGTAGCAAACCAGCAGCCTAAATAAAATCTTTTTCTTGTTTGTCTCAATATTATTTGCAAAACACAAAACTAAATATCCTTTAGTATTTTCAAACAAATAACAGCGATTGTTTTTCTCAAGATCACATATGGCAATCGTTGACTTCTTTTGCAAACGATTTCTTCAAATAAAATGTTTGTCCACCGAGGAAAGGTTAACACACACAAAAAATGTTGAATTCCACAAAAAGGAGAATTCCACAAAAAGCAGAATTCCACAAATTAAAGATGCCTTCTTCCCACGTACAACTCTGCGATTTGATATATTTGGACTAAAACATATTTAAACTAATTCATATATCTAAAGCTTTTTTTTAAAGCCCTTTAAAACATTTCAATGAGAAGAAAATCACCCCAAGCTGTAAATTTAAGCAGCTTTGTTTGTAACATGACTTGATTGGGGAGAATCTATTTTCAGCTTGTACAGTTTGTCGTTATTAGCTGAATATTTATCATATCTATGCTAAATTCTTAGATTATCCTCTGCCAACAACTTTTTCCTCCAATTAATTGCAATGTCTGCAGTATGTTTAAGTCTCTTAATGTTCTCACAGCTTGTGATCCCCTTATCTATATCTGAGAATCTAGTATTTTTTTTTAGTAAGATTGGGTGCATCTACTTTCCATATGTAGCATATTTGACATAATTTTATTGGAAATTTTAATGGGAATTTATCTTTAAACAAATAAATATCGGAATCAAAATATTCACTGTAAATTTGAAAATAAGGGTGTTTAACTTAAATACTTACTTCCTCTGGGTTGGATAAAATTTGGAACTCCAGACACAACTTTTCGTACATCTTGATTTAAAGCAATACATGTATAAGCACGACCATATTGTCTGTCCTCAGCCTTTACATTGGTTATTCGTAGACGAGCTTATGAAAGAAAAACCACATTGTTCATAGAGGCAAAATTAATCATCTCCGAAATATGCTCGATTAAAAGGGCTAAACCTGTACGTAGCTCAATATTTTCATAAAATACGAAATTATTAAAATCGAATTAAAAAATTGAACATTGGACCATTTCAATCAATATTTCAATCAAAATATTGATGTCGTTATCTTGCCCTGAAATTATGGATTCCTTATGTCGAATATTTAAGATATAATGAACATGTTAAAATCAGAACACGAGTGCCATTTGTAATGAACAAAGAAAATTATGTCCAATGCAGAAGTAATTAGTAATGGCTGATTCACAAACGATAAAATCATAATAAAGAAAACGGACTTATCAAGAGTGAAAGACCGCTGTTTAATTTGGACTATTTGCGTAGTTCACCGAACAATATTGATTAGATATTACAATAACAAATTTCAAAAATTGAATATAAATCACTTTATATTACATTAATATGTGCGTTTAGACCCATTTTCGTCTATTTAAAAGTTCTAAAAATTAGAGCCATGCCCTCTTTAACGAAATAACAGATAATGAAGGATAACTAGACAACCAAACAAGAATATAGACAGGAGCCTGTCATAACCCCCTAAACGCCCTTTTCAATATCGCATTCTCAGGTACAGATAACCCTACTAAGCAATCCAAAATTTACACGATTCCACTATTTACAAACTTGATAAGACTCTTTCTTATTCCACAATGGGCAATCCCACGTAGTTTGTAAACAGAAAGATATTGGTAAACACTTTAAAAACTTTATGAAAAAATGGTTGCCATGCAAGATACGCCCACATTGTTCAAGACATGGACAGAAAACCAGCTGGTAAAGCATACAATAAGCAATCATAATCCAGGGTGTTACAGTCCGACATGTTTCAATATCAAAAGGAACAAAAGGAACCAAAATCTTTTGGATACAAACATACATTTTAAGTTTCATCAAAATCGGAAACAAATTGTGACCTCTAGAGTGTCCACAAACTAACGACACAATTTTTTTACAATTGGGGCCATAATACATGATGTTACTATCCGATGCATGCCAATATCTTTGGGATATAAATCTATTTGAAGGTTCTCAAAATCGGATAAAATTGTGACTCCATGAGCGTCCACAACCTTGGTATTATATACATTTACACTATTTGCACACGGACAGCGGCCATTTTGCCAGGCGATTTTCGTCGGATTTTCTCGAAATTCGAACTTAACCGTCACTATGGTGTAACGGTGATATGTGAGAACAGTTTTTAAAATCGGATAAATTGTGAACTTTAAAAGGAACATGAGCTTAAGAAAAGCGATTTTATTTGTACAATCAGGAAGTTACGGTGGGATATACGCGTATGTAGAAATGGGCAGATAACTCTAAATTTCCTTGGGATCCCTTCCATATATGCGCGGATATAGAAAGGAGCCGAGATCTTTGGGATATAAATGTAATGGGGAGATAACTCCGAATTTCATTGGGACCCTTAACATACCTTTAAATTACCACACACTCTAAGTTTGAAAAAATCTGACAAGAACTGCCATGCGTAGGGTATCCATTATTAGGACTAGAGCCATTACATTGTCACTGTAACCATTTAAATGTAATCATTACAAGTACTTTCTAATTGCTGAATACATTAACATTACAAGTACTTTCTAATTGCTGAATACATTAAAAGTAATTAATTAACTTCATTAACTACTATACGGCTAAGACCAGGTGGACAGAACGCTGGACACAGGTAACAACAATAGGAATCCACATTAAATAGGGGATTAGTACAAAGGATAAAGTAGATACATGTACAATTTGATATTCATTTTATACAATATCCACCGATTACCTTCATGATCAAGGGTAATACGAGCATCATAATCGATGGCTAAATAATTGCCGTTAACGTTTATCGCCCAGTAAAATTCAGGACTTGGAACACTGTCAGGCAAAACACAATCCAGCGTCAAAGGATCACCTAAAATATAAAATCAAATCTAAAAAAATGAGTTGTCCAGTTCTTCATAGACAAATACCCTGGACTATTTTGTCCAAAAATGTATAAAACATCCCATTGATCAGTCTAGACTGTAGGCTAATGTGTCTTACAAAAATTAAATGAAATGGGACTTAATGAATGAAGACGGGAGCCGAGGTAACTCCTGAACGGAAGGCCGTGTTCACAAAGTTCACAAAGTTTTGAAACAAGGGTAATGAAATTTGGACAAAAGCCAAGAAAGTGTTTATACATTTTACGTTAAAATATTAATCTAATTTTCCCAAAAAGAAATAGACATTCCTGTCAAGTTAAAAAGCAAATTCCATTAAAAGTGTGACCCCAGCTCCATTCTTTGTCCCGCAGAATTACTTCGATAATTTAGATTTGTTTCGGAGGTTATATGGCTTTTCCAGGATTAACAGCAATTGATAAAAAAAATATGGCTGTGTAAGATGAGTAATAAATTTGTAAAAAATTAAAAGTTTATGGCCGCCTTCGCCTGTCCAGTAGTGTTATAAAATCCGTTTCCTCGAATAAAAGTGGCTGGTACCCATAACATCACCATATAGTCCGGAGTGCTTCAGGTGTTATGGTTCTAGTTTGTTGGGACCCACTGTTAGTAGATGTTTGTTACGTCGTTGCAAACAAGGTGCATAGATATATCAGCAGTTGGTAGGTATCCCCATGGGTACCAACTGAACACCTTTGCTTGCTGATTTGTTTCAGTATTCTTAGAAAGCTGATTATATCTAAGCACTCATAAAACAAATAAACAAACAAACGGTTAGTCAGACGTTTTAATTTCACTATTATTCTAGATATTTTAATATGCCTTATTATGTCCAAATCCTGATACCACTGTTCATCACGTGCATTATGCATAATATTATGGATAGTCCATTTGCTGATTGGACTATTTTACCTAGATTTAATTGATTGGATGCAACTATGGCGGGTGTGACCCCGAGCAGGGTAAGAGTTTTCTTACACACCTGTTACCACTGCTCATCATGTATGTTGTAAAACGGGGGTTGGGTGGCCGAATGGTTAGCACGTGCGTGCTGTATCATAAAGTCTGTCATTGAGTCAACTGGCGTGGTTTCGAATCCCCGGTTGTACGTGACAAGGAGTAGGGTCGCCTGTCCAACCTCGTGGGTTTTCTCCGGGTCCTCCGGTTTCCTCCCACTGCTAAAGACCCCTACGCGCAAGCGAATTATTGAAATAAAATTAAACCATATGTTAGTCCCGAAATGACCTAGTTTGTGTCGAGTGGACGTTAAACCCCATTTCTCTCTCTCTATATATGTTGTGCAACACTCGCCGTCTTGTCATAATACAGGATTCCTAACAGTTTCAGAAAGATCTGATAAAAAGTGTAGCCTTCAGAGCAATTGACAAGAGTTGACGGACCACTCGTCAATTACAATATAAACCACCACATCAACCTGTGGGAAACTTTCAGTCTTTGAAAGTCATTACAATTATAACAGGATTTCATAACATCATAGTGCAGCGTACGCAAATTACCTCTAACCATGGTTTGCTTTTCGGTTGTTTCAATCCCAAAGTTGGCCGAGTCTAGTCATTCGATTGGGAGGATATACAAACGTCGCGTGCTCGTAAAAGAACCAATGACAGAGAGAATTAGAAATAAAAGTAGGTTGTCCGGCCAAAAACGCCCCTTGTGGTCCAATGCATGGCGTTTAAACGACTTCATTATCCCGGTTGGTGCATAAAAGTAGGGCATGAACTTCAATTTCATTTAATTTCATTTATTTACTGTTCGTTTTTGTATTACGGTAACTAATTGCATGATCTAAAGAATATGTAATTTATGTCTCGGTCTGTAATGGAATAGGCCTAGCGGGATGCAGGGAATTAAAACAAACTTACCAAGGCTTGGTGAATGTGTAATAGGTTCAGCAGTAGTAAATGAATCCAATTTGGCTATCCTTAAATTAATATTAATTGTTGCCGATTTACCATAGCCATTATCAGCGAAACACTGATATACACCTTCGTCTCTATATTCTGGTCTAATGATTACTATTGTACCTACATTGGGTAACTGCACCATGCGATCATCATTAGGGCTTGGGTTAAAATCTATTCCATTTCTTGTCCATGTATACCTGTTAAAATAGTACCAGTCATTATTTACAATCTAATTAAAAACATAGTTTGCCAGACAACAAATCAGTAGCCCACCAGCAGCTAGATGATTTTAATGAAATACTGAATTTAGATATGATTCAGGTCTAAAGGTATAGCTGAATCAGCCCCATGTTTAAAATATTTCTGTTTTCCAAAAACATGAGATACAAGATCCATGTCTACAATCAGCCCAGCATATTTAAAATGTTTTTGTTTCTCTCCACTATTGGTTAAATATATTTTAGTATTTAGATTTGATGATTTTGATTGGCAAATCAATATTGGTTGTAGTATATAAGTGGATAAATGTGAAACTGATAATAAAAAGTTTTATAGAGGCATTATCAATTTTCAAATGAAGAAAAAGTTTTTAATTTTGAGTATCTTTTTAAAAATGCCCCATATGTAAGACTGGCGGTATCTTCGAATATCCAGCAAATGGTATACTTAGCGCAAGATATTTTTCCATAACTAGCATTCATTAGACTTGAGATTCATACTATGGAACTCCTAAATTGACAGTTAAGCCGTCTGCATATGTTTTTAGACTTTTGTTAATTCCAGACAATCTTTCTGAGCAACGAGATAGGTCAATTAAAAAAACCAAAAAAACTATTCTATGGTAATTGTTTGCTAGTTGTGCAAAATACATGTAGAAGTTCAAAATAATAATTGCAGGAGGACCGCACTACACACAAATAAACTGATAATACAAACCTGCGAACAAGACATAAATAACACAGATATTGCAAGTAATAAACAACTGTTATCAAATCATTTGACTGGATCGTTATAGAGAATTTTCAACATACTTTGGTTGAGGTTCTCCATCAGCTACACATGGCATCTGTACTCTTTCACCAACTTTATAATAAACATCATAGTCTGGTTGTATATATATACTAGGGGGGCGTGTTACTGAAAAATAATTGTAAATCTTTATACATGTAGAAGTACCATACTACCTGAGAATCAAAAGATATCAGGTTTTACTTTTGAGGGAATGAATTTTAAAATGAAAGCAAAATTAAAAGTTTTAGTTCAAAGTTACAAACAAATTCATGGAAGTATGACAATTAGAAAGAAATGAAAAGAAATGGAGATTAATGTCCTATTCCCGTATTGAGTGGGCTAATGAAGATGAACATAAGCTATACAGTGTGTTATGAGGGCGATTTTGCCCAGAGAGCGGCGCTACGTCCTACCCTATTTCGAATCCCAACTGTCAGGGTTTCTTTTACGCCAATGCGTACACATGACCTTACTTTTTGCGGCCCATTCGAAAACGTAGACATTGTCCTTTGTAGGATGAAAAAAGACCCACACCCTTTCCTTGTGATAACTAATATATAGCGGAATCTAAAATTTAAGAATTGAGGAACACCAAATTCTATCTAAGGACAACAAATCTGCCGTGACTGAACACTCAGAGAGCAACAAGAGGTACACGATGCGATGGTCTGAAAAAGAAGTACTTAACTCTAACCAACAAGTGAATAAGAAACTTATGGAAAGTATGAAGATTGGGGACAGAAGTCGTTCCGAAACAGATTTAAGAGTGTACCTTCCTTATGTATACGATCGAATCAGTAGCCGTTAGTCCCTTATGTTAATCACCAATGTTGTAGTTAGGTTGTCACTATACTGTCATATACATCATAAAGATTAAATAAATCCGATTAGTCTCTTCTTATTAAATTCGTTATTATTTATTTATTTATATAATCATGCTAGTATTTAGTATACTTTTCTCATGTAACTCTTATTATATACATGCGTTCATCAATTAGACATTAGTCATAAGATAAAAGATGCGGAACAACACCGGAAAATCTCAAGTAACTTTCTCGGCGAACACCGGGATCGAACAAAAAAAATCCAGGTTAGCTGATCCACTGTGAAACCCAAACACTTTGACGACTGATAGATGAACAAATAGCCAATATCGGAGTGTGCAAGGGACTGCAATATCCCTCAAATTTTGATTTGACTTGAGGTTTAACGTCCACTTCCGCAGAAAATCCCTCAAATCCTGTCCAGGGTTTTAACACTAACCGCTGTACGAATAACTCGGTGATCGAATAAAAATTCTGGCCATAATTGTTTTCCGTATTCAACCAAGCTAGTTTGACACTAATTCTTGATTAATCCATAATCTCGTGACGAATGAGATAATAAGCTTATATATCACTATATCTCTGCTTTTAAATCTAATTATTTGTTAAATGACTGATTCGCAGTCAATATCCAATTGTAAAGATAACTCATTACGACATTCATCTACATAACCATCCCCGGTGGTTTCATTCCGTTCTACTCGTCCCTGGGTATATCCATGGGGTATTCACGTATTGAAATATTGTCTCTATATCGTAGCTTGATTCTACGAACCAATCAGAAAACAGTTTACAAACCAGTCTTAGCCGCATTGTTTCCATTCACAACAACATCTTACGTAGTCGCCCGATTATGAGACAGCTTGCAAGAAATTTAATATAAAAGAAGAGACATGCACACTAACAGACGCTCTAAAACATCCTTTTGATGGGAAAGGATGTTTTATGTTTTTATGCCAGTCAAAACAGGCAGTGGCAAATTGTTACGCTAGAAAGCGTATTGGCTGATAAAAATAGCATAATCATCAAGAGCAGATAATTTGAATACGTAACCCCGCCCCCCACGGATTGATCCAGGGTATAGTGGAGTAGAACGGAATGGGACCACTGGCCATACCGAAGATGCTACATACGTAACATGAATATTAAGAGTTTGTCGATCAACTCTATTAATCAAAATAGATGTATTCATTTGAGTAAAATATCGTTATATATTTCTAATATACTTACTTGCTGATAAACCAGGTAGACAAATAACGAATAAAAACATCCACATTCTTTTAAATTTCAAGTTTATATTTCCCATTTAATATAGCATACAATTAGTAAACCGACAGGGTAATATACATCTATAGACCGTTAGATTCAATATGTCGAGAATAAGCGAATGGCGTTATATAAAGAGTTAGCAACATTGCGCAACATTTATGTAGGTTAAAGTCTTTGGTTGTGTTTACTTACTGATAATTCCAGTAAAAAAAATAGAGCATAAAAAACATCCACATTCTTTTAAATGTAAGGGTAACATACATATAATATTTATAGTAACAATATCTCGAAATGACCTAGCCGTGAATACGCAAATGGTGTTATATTCGTACAAAGGGCCAGCCACGCGATTCATCATTGCGAAATCCTATTGTCGATTAACGTCTAATCGTATGAAGGGTAAATTTTCAGTATGAAAAAATGGCGGAGTCCAAGCATATGGCACCATGAAGTTCGTGGAAATCCCACACTACATGACAACAATAAACTATCACACATTCTTAGGGAAAAAAGCTACTTTTTTATTTGGGCGACATTTGTTTATAAGTTTGTTTATAAGTATGTGTTATAGTTTATTTCGCAATCCAGTTACTATATGCCTCTTAAAGATAACATGAAAACAAGAGGGCAAATCGAAAATCTAAGGTTGACTATTGTACTGTTGCAGACCTCCCTCCATAACCTGCAATAGTGTGGTAACGTAGTAAGTAAAACCTGCGGAGTTCGGGGCAAAAGACTTCCTGATTTAAAGGATTTAAAATAGTAAACGCTTAATAAGATTCTGGTTTATCTATTCCATAATCTGCTTTACCATCTACCGTAAAACCATTAAACACGAATTATGCTTGATCCTGAAAATGAATAAATTACAGTATTACTTATTTACGTACATATAATCAAATTTCAAACACACATGAGACTATTTATACATTTCACATTCAAAGTTACCTAATCAAATAATTAAATGAAATATTTATATAATAATTAGCTTACCCGTTTGTGGAAAAAAGCCGGTGTGTAACCTTGCTGACAATCTGTAACATGTGGTAAAGATGCATGCATGTGATACAGTTTTATCCCAGCTACACTTACAAACAACCAACCATGAGAAAGAATCACAGACCACCTGATAAACAACCTTTTCAAAAAGAGACCACCTTTAGAACTGAAAGATTTCAACGAGCTATCCTATCAACTATATCAGCATAAGAACTAAATCCATATTTAAACTAAAACATTCTTTCCGGACAATGCAATTCCATTAATTATTAAACATTATGCAAGAGCTAAATCTGCCAATTGCAGGTCTTTCTTTAGGCCTGAAATGTTATAATTTTATTAGACATTAATTAATATATCCATACTATAATCAATCCTCGATAGCATCGTTCTACTGGATAAGAACCCGGTCTGCTGCTTCTGATTAAATCAAAAAGTGGATAATCGACACCATGTTTTTTTATAGTACCGAATTTAGTAATGGTTAGGCCGAAATTTCAATCGCTTTATTCTCGGTTCACAGTGGATAAATTTGACTGAATTTTTCAGCAAATTGCCTTTATATTATCTAGTTTTTAAATATTTTAGTGAGAACTGCCAGCTCTTTTATCTAATCTCACATAATGTATCTTTAATGATAAGATCTATGATATTTGTCAACTAAGTACGTCTCCGGTCTATAAGTTATTAAGAGATAAGAATTTTGAACCACCTGCCTGCAAATTATATTGACAATGCCATGCGTATGACATCACTGGACAGTGGTCTGGAAGTCTGTTTTTGCTATAAATAAAGTTCCTAATCGTTAGATATAGAATTGTACACAACATGATTTGGACCAGTGAAATAGGTCATAATATTGGTAAAATAAATAATCATTATTGTAAATTCTGTGATAAAGATTCTGTTGAAAATTTAGAGCATGTGGTTCTAGGTTGTAAATATGGTAAGAATTTGTATGAATGTATTTTAGATTCTATAGCGGTGTTTTTTCCAAACCTCGGGTTTTGGACTATGGTTTTCGTCAGTGGTTCCTTTTTGGCAACCCTGTTCTGAACTATAACCTGATTCGCCATTATCAAACGGAGAGTTTTGTTTTTAAATGAAGCCACCGAAATTAATGACAAAGCACATTTTAAATTTGATTAGATGGTGTTTTTAAGATATGATTTTTATTGTTGTGATTTTGTAATCTTTGTAAGTGTGCAATATTTGTATAAATTAAATAATAATAATAATAATAATAATAATAATAACCCTGTTGGTAGTATTTTTTACAAGGTTTCATTAAACGTTGTCGGTTTAACGATTATTCGTATCGCTTGTCTAAATTTTAAATTAAAAAAAAAGGTGGAGCCCAAGCACAGGGTACCAAGGAAACTGAAATCTCACACTACATGAAAACATGAAGGCAAATCGAAAATCCAATTTTCAGCTACTATACTGCATAGTCCTTTTGACATCCAGTTGTTACAATTTTAAAATAGCATTAAAGAAGAGGGTGTGTCTATAAATCTGACAGCTGTCGGGCCAAAGATTATATAAATTGTCTTCCTTATTACATATCCATTAAGACCTACTTTTCTTATTATCTGTTTATCTTCCCTTTAATAAGTGGATCACAGAACAAGTAGATCTATGTTTAGCGAATGACACAAGTGATCAAAATACTTTTATTAATGGATGATTGTAAATCACTTTTATCTTGTAATTCTAAATGTAAAAACATCATATCACGACGATAACACGTGAAAATGGCGTTTTCATGATCACATAATGTGCCACATATCTATTAATTTCCCCATACACACACACACGTCGTCACCTGTCATTCGAATGTAGAGCAAAATTTGACCGTTTGGGGGTCAAAGAACAGTAGATATAAACACTGTTAAAACAGATTAAAATGGGGGCAGCCATCTTTAGACAGACGATGGTCCGGACCATCCGCGTTCGGTTTCATCTTCTGACCACGTTGTAAAAAAAATTATAACCGAAGGTCGCCCTGCATGCCGTGCTTACTGGAGATGTTTAATCCTATAATGCTGAACTACCAGAACCACCACAAGTAGCATTCAGACCCCACCTCAGGTTATTGCTGTTGTGCCGGGTTGAAAGATAAGTTATGCCGTTTACCGACTGTTCTACTATTTACCAAAGTAAAGCCCAAAATAACGTCGTTTACTGTCGTTTGCATTCATTAAATCATTGTTGGATATGAAATGCTGTTTTGCACGGAATGCTAGTACCCATTAGCCTAATGCCAATAAGAGTAAATTGAAATGATTATAGTGGAAGATAACTGTAACATGTGATGTGTCTAATCATACCGAATTCGATCATGGTGTCGATTGCATGTTTAGTAAGTTGGTGAATCACTTCATTCAATAAAAGGAATAAATTTATGCTTAGTGAATAATACGACCGAGAAAACCCACTACATATCAATTCTCTCAAACATAAAAATTGAATTATACGAATGGGAATGATGACAATTCGGCCTTTACGGTGCAGACATGGAATATGAAATGTGTATTAAGTCATTGACCCCTAGACCTAATTAATTAACAGCGCCCATATCTCCCTACTGCTCGGTTCATACTATCACGATTCGTGCTACGATTGAAATCGTGGTAACAATCGTGGAGCAATCGTGATGACCCTATCAGGTCTTATCATATATTGTTGATCGTATCAAAACGTATCCAAACGTATCTGCACGTAGCAGGTCAGGTCGTGGACTCAACAGGGACAATCCTATCGTAACGCATCGCACGACAGTGGGATCCTAGCATTAGTCAATTAACTAGCTTATCTACCTGGAGCTAATTAAAGAATTATCTATTAATCCCTTACATTGCAGAGAACACACAATAACACACAAACTATTATTCCAGTCAAACGATGTTCATATATTCAAATGAAGATAAATAATTGGGCATTAAAATGGTCAAAATCTTAAGCAATAATACAAAGTAAGAACAAAGTTATTCATTATTTAAAATCAACAACTAGGCCTACCAGTATGTCACTTGATTAGTTCATAAATATTGTTTTGCGTTTATTCAAGTCCGTGATTTTCTTTAGATTAATGCCTTATTTTTAAGTCAGTAATTTGAATAAATGAATAAACAGTTAGTCGAGAATATAAATAAAAGTTTATCAGAATAATAGGTGTGGAATTATCCATTTTTGTTAATAATCATTTGGCACAATTCAATTGAGTAACAGATATAAGAGTAATATTGATGATTTACTTCAGAATAAATCAAATCTAATTATCCACATTTTAAAAATAGGACTATTTATTTGCCAATTAATATTTAGTACGCGCACGTTGTACAAGAGGCAATAACATTCTGCTGTAGGTATTCGTCTGATTGACGATCAAGGCTTTCATGATTTAGCCCAATGAACAAATTAAAAAGTCAAACTATTTTTTATCCTCTTTTAAATGCCCTCAAAATAATAGACAGGTCACTGAATTTAATGTAGTTTGTCGATCAAAGTCGGTAATGCATTCGACGAACATGAGCGGTTCTTTCCTTTATTTAATAATGGATGGCGTGGTTTCGAATTCCAGGTTGTACGTGACAAGGAGTAGGGTCGCCTGTCCAACCTAGTGGGTTTTCTCCAGGTCCGCCGGTTTCCCCCCACTGCTAAAGACCCCTACGCGCAAATGACCTGGTTTGTGTCGAGTGGACGTTAAACCCCATTTCTCTCTCCCCCCCTCTCTCTCTCTCCCCCCCTCTCTCTCTCTTTAATAAAAAACACATTGTTTGATAGTTGATCTGGATTGGTAGATGTCATCTTTGTGGGTTTCGTCTTTAGGTGCTAGGCCCTAGGCCGTCTTATCGTAACCTCGCCTCACTCCACTATCCTACTCTACATGTTTGCTGTCTTTTTAGCGGATTAGTGTTTAGATGCTGGGTCCGTATGACCGTGACCCTCATTTACTCCACTATCCTGCTAATTTGGTACATGCCTTCTATTTACGTAGTTTAGTGGTTAGATGCCGAGCCCGTCTAACCGACCTTATATCCCCTAAACCATTGATGTGACGTATAAATGTTATGATTTTAAACATTAGTTCAAACTATTATGTTTATTGGATAACTGCTTTTGGAAAGTCAATCGGCTTTATTTTGTAACTTTATTGATCAATAAAATAGTACATCAAAGAGGCCGACAGCAGCTGTTGTTTGGAAAGTGACTAGACACAGGTCACCGACTGGCGGAGTAAACTAGTGATATTCAGACACTAATTAGGTCGGCGGCGGACGTGACTATGACCAGATGAGCTCAAAAGTTAGGGTCAGTATACAGTGCACCCACAGTTCTATGGATAACACAACGAGATGCCGTGGTTGGTACCTGAACACCGAATGGCGTCATTGCGTTAATTCGAGAGAGCTTACATGCCAGAGCCTTTTTCCGAAGGTTTGTTGCCATCACTTTACCATCCACAAACTGGCCGATGGCCGATCGGGTTCCACTATAGACGGCATTGCTGGACAAGATCAGCACATCTCTATGATCGCACGTTGCCAGCTTCCCGTACTGCTACTGTGTGGGTTCACGTGAATTCATCACTGCGGATACTGTTCTTCGCCGAACAATACTCTTACGGACTGGATGTCAGACGACCTTACTTTGTTTGAGTTCTGACTCAAAAGCAAGAAAAGTAGACTTCAAACCAAAATAATGTGTCTGGAAGGCCAGTTCCCTCTCCTGGTGTCTTACCAATCAAGCCTCCATAGTGGACGTCGTCTCTCTCGCAGTCCCAAACTGAAAAATCGCTGTCAACTGGAATCACCGTTTCAACGAGAATTGTGAAGATCCCAAAAGCACCCATTCAGAGTCCTATCTCCACCATACGGCAACACTTGATTGGTACCCGATGTGCCTGAGTTTTACTGTAAAGCTCTTATGACCACCGCGTATTGTTGATCTTGTGTCGCTAAATGTCCAGCATACAATCAGATTAGTGTATCAATAGATACTTATGACGAAACATTTTAGATTATATGGTATGCTCCCATAACAACTCGCGAGAAAGAAATTCAGCAATGGAATTCTCTGGTGGTAGAGAAGAATACTGACGAAGGTCTGTCTTTAATTCATTCCTTCATGAGAGGATAGCCCGATTCGAGACTCTGGGTACATGAAAATATGTGTGTTGGAACAGATATGGACAATTAACGCGGCAAAGTCATTCGGGTATAGAACCTTTTGAATTTGGAAAGCCAACGACGATCATAGACAGAAACATTGATGCCCTACCAAGTTAAGCAAATAATAATGTGCTGCAACATTAAATTCCATTCCTTGTCATAATAACAAACATCAAGTTCTAGAAAAATAATTTAATTTACAAAAAATATAATTGAATAAATTTTCAAAATAAAAACGTACTACAAAATAATCCCTTAAAATATAATATGAATATCGAACGGTATACGTAAAGCAAATACTAATAATGTAATAAAAAATAATTTCTTAATACATAATTGAGAAACGATATACTGCAGAGACTGTACAATTTACACGCCAGCAGTGAGTCTGATGTACCCGCGCAGCCCTAAAATAAATAGATGACACATATTAATTAATTACACATGTATCTTTTAAAAAGAACAGAACAATCAAACTGATTATACTTAATCTAAGCAAAAAATGTCTACGATCGAACTCAGTTTTGAAGTACCAGATATACTAAGTTTCAACTTACTCCATAAACAGAATCAAAGTTATCATGTCCCAAAGCATCAACCAATGCAGTTGCCTAGCACAGCTTAGCTTTAGCGGAAAATGTTAATCATTGAACTCAGTCAAGACATTTACTTAATGAACATCTACAACACTAAGTTTAAACATTCAGCCTCAATTATTGTTATGTTCCAAAGTCTTGACCAATCAAATTGCTTATCGCTCCTTACCATAAACAGAAAATTCACATCATCAAACTTAGTCAAGGTATTGATATAATGAATCTATACTCCGAGTTTCATCACTCTCACCCAATTAGAACCAAAGTTATCTGTTTTAAAGTCTCAACCAATGAAATTGCCCACCTTTTCTTAGCCTATCAAATTGCCTATCTTTGTTTAGCCTATCAAATTGCGCATGATCGAACAGTGTCAAGGCATTCACTAAGCAGGCACCTACACCAAGTTTGAACATTCTACCTTAATTAGAAGGAGAGTTATTGTGTTCGAAAGTCTAGACTAATCAATTTGAAGTCTTTACTTAGCCTAAGCAGGAAAATATCATCACTGAACTGAGTCAAGGTATTGATGTAATGAAACTAACACGCAGTTTCACAACTGCCACTCAATTAGAATCAACGTTATCAAGCTCCAAAGTCTGGACCAATCAAATTGCTCATCGCTCTATTTACCCTTAGCAGAAAAAGCTCATCATCGAACTTAGTCAAAGTACATCGAGGTATTGAAGTAATGAAACTATACACCAAGTTTTGTCACTCTCACCTAATTAGAACCAAAGTTATCGAGTCCCAAAGCACCAGCCAATCAAATTGTTTATCTCTGCTTAGCCAAAGCAAACAAATGCTCATCTTCGAACTCCACCAGGGCATTCGCCTAATAAACAGCTACACCAAGTATGAACATTCTAGCTCAATTAGAAGGTGGGTTATTGTGTCGAAGGGACGGCCGGCCCGACCCATTCAATAGTCCCCTGCCTTCTTCGAAAGGCGGGAGACAATAATTTCTTAAAATATAATTGATAAACGATATACTAAGCTGTACAATTTATGATATAATAATGTAATACATAAAAGAATTATTAAAATATAATTGATAAACGATATACTGCAGAGACTGACACCAAGAACGCGCCAATTCCTTCTTAATTCTAGTTCGAAGTAAACGCGGATATAGAAAAGGAATGCATTCCAAACCAAGATCTTACGCCTCGCCCACACCCCAACCGAGACATTTATTTAGTGGCACCTATTAGTTAGGTAAAATAATATTTTTGTTTGTCTTTTGTCTAGTGGTAATGTGGTTTTTCAGATTAGATTGTATAGGATAAATATCTGATTAACAATATGGATCTTTTGAACGATAATGTGACTTCGCTTATCGTTAAGAAATCGAAGAACCAAATTGAATATTCTGGATTTCGGGTCTATAGTGACACACCCTTGTAGGTCACAGATTTTCAGCCAAGACAACTACATTCTTACAAATTAATTATTTCACATTTTAACAGTTATATGACTATTCTGGTTGAAGTCATTGTTCATGAACGGTTTAAAGGTGGTGGAAATTAAGGCTTTTCTGGATCGTTCGCGCCAACGTAACACTGGCCTTCGTTGTCGCTGCTGAAACCAAGAAGAAAAAAACACTATGTAAATAATGATTTAACTATATTGATCACCATTTACTGTAAATGTTGTGAGGAATGAGGGGGTACCGAAAACACCCGAGAAAACTCATTAAGTTAAGCAACCCCATTTCTGGTCGAGTGCAAAAGTGAAAAGGAAGTCATGACTTGCATCCGCGACAGACCTTACGATCTGCAGCACAGGACCAACTCCCCATACGTTGCTAAGAAAAACTAAAAAGATTTAAATGTTGTTAGTAGACACCACATTCATTCAAAGACGCCATTCTTGTTAGAAGAGCTAAATCTATATTTTTTAAAACCTGAAAACCCAAAAGGACAGAAATAGGTCAAAAAGCACATATTAATGTAATTTGAGTGTATATAGACCGGCCCCAAGTTCACAAAGCATTCTCAGGCTCAAGTTGAGAATTTACTAAATTTTTAATCACTGTTTATAAGGCATATCTTTCCACCAGAAACACAAAACTTTGCACATAGTTTCTTATTGATGTATTTGATACATTAAAACAACAAAAGTTTTAAAAATGGCTATATTTTAGTTAAAATAAGGAGAAAATTTTTGAGTAAATTCTTAACTTAAGCCTGAGAATGTTTTGTGAACTCGGGGCCTGATTTAAATTCATTTTTCAAATCTCTTTTATTATACTTTCTCTCATCAGTCTGTCGAAATAGTTGAGCAGTTTAAATTGAATGACAGTCGCTTGCGCCTGGTTAGTCCAGTCATCGGGAGTATGGTTTGACATTTCACCTAACCACTGACGTTTTGCCGCGTTCATAAAGGCGCCTCATTACAAATGGCATTCGAAAGCATACATGGCATGCTGTCATCGACTGATTTTAAAATTGTTCACTGTATCTTAAATATTGGATAATTGGGTGGATAACAACATACATATTAATGGTAATGGGACAGTTAGTGTCTGTAATTTCGAATATTATATATACAGGTTTAGCTTCTTTACAGTTATTCCTAGCGACTTTGTTTATCTCACCTATAGGTATTCGTGTGGTAGTAAGCTTTCAGTGATGCACCAGCTGTGTCTGCAAAAAAATAATCAATCAATATGTATGTTAAAACCCCGATATATCTGACCAAAAAAACCCAACAAACACAGGGCCCCACAACATAAAAAATAAAATAGCATATTGGTCTAAAATGATTAAGATAGCCGCGCAAAGGATGGAATATGCCCAAAAATCAGCATCGTCTCCACTGTAGCGTATCCGAAAGGAAACCCTGGATGATGAGCAAAATTGAATTGGAGAGAGAGAGAGAGAAATGGGGTTTAACGTCCACTCGACAAAAACTAGGTCATTTCGAGACTAACATATGGTTTAATTTTTTTTATTTTTTTTTATTTACATAATTTGCTTGCACGTAGGGGTCTTTAGCAGTGGGGGGGGGGGGGAGAAACCGGAGGCCCCGGAGAAAACCCACGAGGTTGGACAGGCGACCCTACTCCTTGCCACGTACAACCGGGGATTCGAAACCACGCCATTCGACTCAATGACAGACTTTATGATACAGCGCGCGCACGCTAACCATTCAGTCACACCCCCCCCCCCCCAAAAAAAAAATTGAATTGGATCTAGGATCCTTAAAGAAATCGAATCTCTACTCTAGAGTTCATCTACTATTGACCTCATTGCTTCCAGCGAAATTTGAAAAAAAAGATGTTATAACCTATAACGTCTATTGTGTTAGCAAAGTTAAAACTATAGCCTATATCGGATTCAGAATGTTTACGGAAAAGGGGGATAACTGAATAAGAATTGGGCTCATCGCATGACCCACCATATTTAAAAAGCATCCGTTAAAAACTCCGGAACGGAATGTAACGGAACCCTGTAGTCTCACGTGCTATGTTGGCCATAACTGCCTCAATTTATATACGCCAACACTGAAATGAAGGTATGACCAACACGTAACACCACTTTCTATTAATTTCGAGTCGCCATCTTTAGTGTCTTAGAAACGACTGACGTATATCAAAGTCGATAGCACACAAGTCTATGGAATAAAGTTACTGTTTATTACAATGTGTCATTTCAAATAGTTCCCCTTGTCAGTGATGCAGGACGAAGGGCCTGACAAGGACAGCTGTTCAGTCCTACGGATGAGACGAAAAACCGAGGTCCCGTGTATATATTGGAATGCACGTAAAAGATCCCCTGGCAGTTGGAATTCGATATAAGAGTAGGCGATAGTGCCGCTGCCCGGGCAAAATTTCCCTCATATGCCCGTCTTCATTAGCCCAGTATAGGAGCAGAACAGTAGGACGTTAAACCCCATTTCATTTCATTTCATTTCAAATAGACCTCTCAAATCTTCATCAATCTGCATCAAGCAATGATAGTACCCATCCTAGATTTTTTTGTTTTGTTTTCATCGTCTAAAGCGGTATATGAAGAGATGAACTTAATCGTATTGAAAACAGATCAGTCTCAAAATTACTCGTTTTGTTATAGCCATTAACCGTAATTTTTCTTTTGTTTTTATAGGCTGAATGTTTAAAGATACATTATGGGAGACAAGATACAGAGATGGCAGTTCTCGCTATAATAGTTAAAAACTAGATAGTGTAAAGGTAATTTGCTGAAAATTTCAGTCAAATTGATCCACTATGAGCCGACTTTTGCAAAGTCTCGGTCATCATTACTAAAATCATTAATATAAACAGCATAGTCTCGATTATCCACTTTTTTTGATTTAATTATCAATGGCCGTTAACGGCATATAGGAATCTAATCCAGCCAGCATCGAAGGCTAGCCTTGACATCGAGAGTTTATTATGGTCTGGATAAGTTAATCAATGTCTAATTGATAATTTAGATAACATTTCAGGCCTAAAGAAAGACTTGTAATTAGCAGATTTTGCTCTTGCATAATGCATGTTTAAGTTGATGAAGAAGTTATTTGCTTCCCAAGAGGAATTGATCTCTTCGAGATGGTAATTTAAAACGACAATATCTGAAAAATCTATATACAGTTATTCAACAAATACCTGTCTTGTACTTAGTTTTTCTATTGACTATTTTACAGTAACAGTACACAACACCTATTATCAGCAATACTGCCACAACAGCGGCGAGAATTCCTAGAATCCATTCAATATTAGACACCCGGGGGTGGGTATGAGCTGAAATTAACAAATCAAATACATAAATGAATCTTGAATTACGTCAATTATTGATTATCGTTTGAAGGATGAACAAGGCTATGTTAGTAAGTGCAGCGGGACTGCACCACACATAATTTACACAGAAACAAATACATGGACAAGACATCATACTCAGAAAACACATATAAACAAACAATTAAAAAAAGTGAATGGATCCGGGGGGCTAGCCGTAAGTATTAAATGGCCATGACCTAAAGACTAATATTGCCGTTCGCCAATTTACTTAAATCGGTTATATGTCAATAATACAGCTATAATACTAACGAACCTTTTGAATCAGCCATGGTTACAAACTGCGTAATATTAGATTCTACTCTCTGTGTTCTATAAATAGCCACAACTCGTATTTCATAAGTTGTATCGGGTTCGAGATCGGGAATAGTCGTCCGTATATCCTTATAATCAACGGTAGAATTCATCCATTCTGAGTCACCTGAATAAAAAAGAAGTATTCTTGTAAAGGGCATAAAATGGGAACAAAACCCACATCTTACCTTTGTATCTTACAATTAGAAAAACAAATCCAAAACTTTTTACAGACAATTAGTTGTTCGAACGATAGTAGTTGAAATAAGTAACTGAAATGTAAAAGGAGGCTAAGGCAGAATTCACGTCTAGTGATTTAGTCCAAAATAAAATCTTGTATGTGGTATTTTAGAAAAAATAATTAAATTCTGCCCCATGTACAATAACTTTTACTTGGTTTTATTGACGGGAGCAATAGCCGTATGTATTCATATGACTATTCGAATAATCCCATCATGTATTAAAAAAAACAAAAAAACGAAAATAAGCCCTCAAAGGGGTTTTACAAGGATTCAGGGTCAGGGTAAATAACAACATGTTTTTGACAAATTGATGCTCGATAAAAGGGATGTCGGAACCCATTTAAACGCGCCTGCTGAACTGAATTGATCGAGTCGGAAATAGTCTCAAACACCCTGACCTGTGGACAGATAGCAGGGGTCACTGCCATATCAGTTTACTTCAACATGGAATTTTGAATACTTACCTAGTTTTCTGTATTCTACAAACACCACTGTTCCTGTTTTATCCAAGCCGTCTAACGACCAGGTAACGTTAATATAATCTTGTCCTACCGATTCTATGGTATATATTGGTACTGGAATATAAATAGAAAATATAAAATTTTGCTACTGATTCTATGGTATATATAAGTACTAGAGGATCTGTATAAACAAAATTTAAAGTTACTGTACGTGAAATGAATAACTCGGATTGTGCTTAGAATAATTATTTAAAACAATACAAATATACTGAACAGCAAAAGAAACGTCGCTTTTTAAAATACAACCATAATATGAAAAATTTATGTAAAATTGCTTGCATGACAAAAATGTAAATTAACACAAACATCGATATCCAAACTCATTTTAAACTTTTTAACTTGGATGGGTTTAGGGAGTATCTGCTTACAATGTAACAATTTCGCGCTAAAATTTACATGTCGGCAAAATTAAACCGACAGGCACGTTTTATTGTGCTTTAAAAGGGATATTAAATGCCCGAAAAGTTACTGACTGCCACTAATGGTTTTGATACAGAAGGAATGCCACGACTTAGCTCCCAACAACGTGAACAAGTCATTGAACATCAAAGTGCGGTTCTTTGGGAGATAAACCTATATTTCAAGTTTCGCCAAAATCGGATAAAAATTGTGACCTGTAGAGTGTTCACAAACAGAATGTGAACGGACACACGACGGACGGACGGACAGGGCCGACGGCAATGTAGGTCCACATGAAAATGTGGGCGTATAAAAACGAACCTGATTCGTTGGTAGCCACATTGGTAATATCTGATTCACTTCTCAGGGTTTGATAAGTTACTACAACTCGTATTTCATACGTTGTACCAGGTTCCAGGTTGGTGATATTCTTCCACGTGTTTACATCTTCATCAGTTGAATTCATCCAATTAGGAGCACCTGATTATTTAAAAATACAAATATGGTATGAGTAATTTTCAAGACATTTTAAATTATTTTTTTTTTCATTTTGTCAAAGCTGAATTCAATAGCTTAAACAAGTTAAGATTCGCAACACGATGCCACCATATTAAAAGTCATTTTCAGACTTTTCATCAATTACAATATATTTATACATTTATATTATACCTACCTAATTTTTTGTATTCTACAAACACCACTGTTCCTGGTTTATCATAGATGTCTGACGACCAGGTAACGTTAATATAATCGTGTCCTACCGATTCTATGGTATACATTGGTACTGAAATATAAATAGAAAATGTAATTTTCTCCTTATAATGATTCTATGGCCATAGATTTCTAGAGGAACTGGAATATAAAATAATATAACAATCAATAGTATCAGATGTCCCCACCCCACTCTCTGCCCCATCTTGTTTAAAACAATATTTAATCAAAACATTGAAACGTATATCGAATATGACACCTGTCGTCTATAATATATATATACATTGAAATCAGTTATTATAACAAGAGTGGTGCTTACGGGTTATGTTCTATCTTTTATATTTTACGGAACTCCATTTTACTTAACATCTGGAGACAAAACTACAAAAGGATATTGGGGGATTGGATGGCCGAATGGTTAGCACGCGCGCGCTGTATCATACGGCCTGCCATTGAGTCAACTGGCGTGGTTTCGAATCCCCGGCTGTACGTGACAAGTAGTAGGGTCGCATGTCCAACCTCGTGGGTTTTCTCTGGGTCCTCCGGTTTCCTCCCACTGCTAAAGATCCCTACGCGCAAGCGAATTATTGAATTAAAAGTAAACCATATGTTAGTCCCGAAATGACCTAGTTTGTGTCGAGTGGACGTTAAAACCCATTTCTCTCTCTCTCTCTCTCACAAAAGGATATAGTTCTATTATCGGATATAAAGATCAAAGAGATCATCGATAAACAAAGTTGAGATCCGACGACCAGACATTCACTCGCCGAGAACTTACCGTAAGCTGTCGTAGCACGCTCTATAAAGTAAACTTCTCCACGGCCCTGGGCTGTCCTTGCCCAGATATGTATTCTGTATTTCGTTTTTGGTAAAAGATCGTTGAGTATGGTTGAATTCTGTAAGGGATCGTTAATCTGTGGCTGCAGATACATCACTGTACCCAGATTCAGGCCTTTCACAGTCTGGTATCCGATGTCATATCCAATGATGTATCCATTCTTGTCTGAAGGTTCAACCCATTCCAAGACGAAATGATTATGGGTAATATTTCGAGCATCAAAATGTTGTACTGATCCGGGTACTATAAGTATACAATTTGATGTTTATTTCAAGAAATTACTTTAACGTAACACGTTTTTAAAATATTACAGATAAAAATCTACAATAGACTAAAAATATCGAATTGCACTGAAGTTTATTAACTGATATTTGGTTTTGAAAGCCCTGTCTATAATACACTACACGTCTGTATTGAAAGGTGTCTAATGCGTGGGCTTTAGATTATAATGATACCGGAAAACATAGCCTCGTTCTCCCAAAATTAAAAACCAATAAAAAGAAATAAGCACGTGGACAGAGAAAATCTATAAAGGTGCGAATCTATATTAGAAAGAATCCAGAGTGGGATCGTATACTTTACTTAAAACCAAGTTGACTAGAAGGGTCTAAGCCTGTATCTTTAAATGGTAGTATCCAATCCAGTCTTACCTCCAGGTTTTGTCTGGAATCTTACAATATCACTTGGTGGACTAACAAAGAAGTTATTCATTACAGAAACCCTAGCTTCCAAATTGGAAAACGGAGGAAGTCCTTCAACTAAAGCAGTAACCTTATTTTCAACAGTATTGTTTAAGGCATCGTCAGCAGAAATATCCCATTCTTTGTAGGTATCATTTTTATAATTCTCCTTCCAATACTGAATCTACAACCATAAACACAATAACAGTAATACCCAGCAGATAAATACACAATCTCTTGTATCTTGTATATTTGGATATCAAATGAATATACTTGTACACTGAACGAAAATCTATCCCTACAACTTTAACTGTATACCAAATTGATTTTCCGACGTGGTTTCCCTTGTCAGTGGTGCAGAACGGGGAGCCTGACGAGGACAGCTGTCTAGTTCTTCGGTTGAGACGAAAAACCGAGGTCCCGTGTATACATTGGAATGCACGTAAAAGATCCCTTGGAAGTTGGAATTCGATATAAGAGTAGGCGATAGTGCCGCTGCCCGGGCAAAATTTCCCTCATAGCACACTGTATGGCGTATGCCCGTCTTCATTAGCCCAGTATAGGAGCAGAACAGTAGGACGTTAAACCCAATTTCATTTCATTTCATTTGTATACCAAATTGGTATATTATTAAAAAATTACGTGTTGATTGAAGAATCATACTGATGAGCATCTCAATGCATTTTCACACTATCCCATTTTAGGGCTACCAGCACTTTCTTATGAATAAATCATTCATGATGGATGTTTAGTATAATGAAATCCTGTAGCCGCCCATTACGAGAGAGGGATTTATATAGACTTTGCCTGTTTCCCAATCCCCTCAAGCATGACCAAGTATACGTGCAGCATGCATGAATTAGTATGCATGACCCATTATAAGGTTTATATAAAGCATGTGTGACTCATTTTTATATGCATGAACTAGCATGTATGACTCAGTGGGAAGAAACCGGAGGACCCTGAGAAAACCCACGAGATTGGACAGGCGACCCTTCTCCTTGTCACGTACAACCGGGGAATATCGAAACCCCGCCAGTTGACTCAATGACAGGCTTTATGATACAGCGCGCACGTGCTAACCATTCAGCCTTCCAACCCTCCTCACGGTTATTCGTTGCATGTATGACCTAGTATCAGGTTTATATGTAGCATGTATGACCTAGTATCAGGTTTATATGTAGCATGTATGACCTAGTATCAGGTTTATATGTAGCGTGTATGGCCCTGTATCAGGTTGATTTATACAGCATGTATGACAGAGTATCAGGTTTACATGTAGCATTTATGACCAAAAATATCAGGTTTATATGTATGACTTAGCACCAGGTTTATATGTAGCACATATGGCTTGAAAGAGTGCAACTGCATAACACAAAACTGATTTCGTTTTGAATTATTCTACCGAGATAGACATTGTGGTTCCCTGATAGTGTATAGCAAAGACGAACCTTAAAACCTTTAAATTCTCCGTTTAATGGAGTATATGTAGTACCAGCTGGGTTAATGGTGCTCATATCAAAATCCCACGACATAGTGACATTAGTTGACTTTATCACCTTAGCTGTTAAATTAGTAGGATGAACAGTTGGAACTGAAAATAGCACAATCAAAATTATCAGCAACGTCAAATTTTCAAATAATGACTAAGTCGCATCATTTGTAAGGCCTGTCCGTTTTCTTGCAGTAGCAATAAATTCCATTGGTTGAAAGTGTTAGAAAAAAAACCACTGGAGTGCTCGTGAGGACCCCTATTATACGCCCACCAGAAGCAGTATTCCATAACAGCTCTAAAATCATTGTTAATAAGGCTCACAAAATTAAATCTTTAAAAATATTGCTATGAATCCATAGCCCAAATCATTAATAAAGGGAAAGATGACGGCTTTCGATAGGATGGATTCTCTTTAATGCCAAATGAAGCACTTTAACCTGTATATCCGACTATAATAAACAATAATCATATCAAACTTTTAATACTCCCCCCGAGTATCATCAACAACTATCATGCCCAAACTCACAATCTTCTCCTGAGAATCCAATAATTGTCTTGGCGCCACCAGCTTCGCCTTGACCGTTTCTGGCTTTAATTGTTATTTCATATGGATGATAGATGTCGCCAGTAGACATCTCATAATGATCTAACCTCCAATCTTCAATAGTGATAGAAATTGTGTTCTGATCGGGATCACCTCGTTTTTTTATCTGTAACACATACTGGAATCCTGGCCCATTCTGTTCTATCCTTGGCATTGGCTGAAAAAATATAAACCAAACTAGACCTGTCCTCGAAACAGGTTTGATAGTTTTTATACAACCCAATCATACACTTATATATTAATTTCAACATCCAAGTTAATATGTTTTGCTTCATGTTTTGTTTCTTTGAAGAATCTTAAAGAAAAAAGGAAAAGGATCATTAAAATCTGTCAAAAAGTCCCTATCTTATATAGCAAAAACATTTCAGCCAGCAACATTTTCTGTTTTTTTTAAAAACAAATTGCACATAACCTATGTTAACATAACGACTGCGATAAAACATTCAGAATAAGCACCAAATGGCTTAGTTAATCGTTTACCATCAACATTGCTATGCAAGATACGCCCACATTTTGCACGAGATGGAGAGAGAACAAGCTCAAAAAAAAAATCAGGAACCTAGATCTTCGGGATAAAAACATTGTGACCTCCAGGGGTCCACAACCTTGGTATTACATACGTTTACACTATTTGTGTTCAAGGAGAGAGTGGCCATTCTGTCGGGCAGTTTCGGTCCGATATTTACAAAATTCAAACTCAACCACCATTATGGTGTAACGGTGATATATTTAAACGGTTTTTAAAGTAGGGTAGAAATTGACGATCTACTCGTATTTCGAATTAAAACTGTCAAGGGTTCCTTTTGTTGCATCTCAATGTGTACACGGGACCGCAATTTTTGTCTTATCTGAACGACTGAACATTGTACCTTGCCAGGCCCTCCAATCTGCACCAGGGACATGAGAAAACCACGAGGAACTGTCTCGAGCAAGGACAATATTGGTGCCAGTCATTATCACATATGTGATAGAACTGGTTAAACACGTCTCAAATATTATTTTATCACAGGGATCATTGCTACGATAGATGCGTAATCACTCTTTCAACAACACGAATTATCCCTCTCTATAACTGACTGAAGTGACCAGTGATAACAGAGATACATGGGCGAATTTTAGCGGGGATTTAGATTTAATGGTATTCAATGAAGAAGTCATGTAGACAAAATACGTATTATATAAATTCGATGGTACTCAAATGACTTATTTTCACTGTAAACGCCCGAAACACATATTTTGGTAAACATTTAAATTATACATAACCAATATTAAAGGTGCTGTGCCATAATCTATCAGATTAATCTTTTTTTAAAAGTTGCACAGAACCTTTGTTTATATAACTGGTTTTGATAAAACTTTCCGAATATGCGACAAATGATTCAATTTATCGTTTGTCATTGACATTTTACCTGATTTCAAAGTCTTACACTTTTAAAAAAAACTCCAATTTTATGACGTCACTTTAAAAAAATCGATAAAATCTGCTTTTTTGAGATTTAATTCTGAATATCGAAAAACGAGCTTCAATATAAAAAACATAGAGTTTAGCATTTGATATGTGAATCTACTGCTCAGACATCCTTATTTATATCTTTAGTTCGTTTTAGAAAACTTATTTAATCAAACGTGTTTTCAAGACATTCTGTAGATATACATAATTAAAATCTGTATTTTTGACATTCACGGGAGTAGCTCGTTTTCGCCAATATCAAAAAACAAGAAGAGAGTGCAGTTTATGAGAACTCACTGCTCAGTCATCCTCTTTTACGGTATATACTAGGGGATATTTAGAAACAATACAAAACTGCGGAAATGTAACCAGTGTATGTTAATAACAGGTCAATTGCCTACACATGAACATAAACAGTTCATATGGGTGGCTTATCTGACAGCCCCATTTCACTCCCAAAGAGATACACTGTCAAAAGTGAAAATGGACGTTTTTGATTTTTGTCTTAATAATGAGTAATTGCCCCACCAATTCTCAGACATTCAGCAATTCGTCGTGGCAGGCTCCTAATCAATCGCCCAATCACGATTTGGCGATCTGACCCACTCCTTTTGCAGTGCCACGGTCAATTCTTGCAGGGTTGACGTTGACGTCGACGAACACGTCTCCCGTTCAAATTAAACGTAACACACTAAAGCAAAAATACGCCAAACAGTAAATCTTATGCAAGAACCGATAGGAAAGCAAACATGGATAGGATAAACAAGCACGCGGAAATTTTCATCAACCCTTCCCTGGAGTGTCAAATTTGACAATGAACCCCTCCCATGTGTATGGCGCTATTGCGTGTCGCACGTGCAGCTCAGTGTTTCTGTTGGTGCGATAAGTTCTTCATCTGTGAACATACTCTCAAGGCATGTCAAGTGTTCATGACTATTTATCATATTACAACCTGCATAGGTATTTGCATTTCAATATCCCCTACTTTTTTTGAAGAGTATATTTAGTTCGTTTTAGAAAACGTATTTAATCAAATGTGATTTGGAGACATTTTGGAGATATACATCCATCAAATCTGTTTTTTTAGAGATTCAAGTCTGAATATCGAAAAACGAGTAGCTCGCCAATATCAAAAACGAGCTATATAGTTGTTTTTCGTTATTCGGAAATATCGAAAATCGAGTAGCTGTTTTTCGATATTCACCAATATCGAAAAACGAGATAACTTCACGCTGCCCTGGAGGCGCACATAATCTCATTGAAATAATTTCCCAATAAACATTTGTGAATCAGTGTTTAGCAGGACATTTTATGTAAAATACATAGAAGGGTATAGACACTTTTCTACACACAAATCAAAACCTACAAGACAAAAATGCGGATAAGACAAACTACATAGATATTGCAAGAAATAAACACCAAAATATCAAATTAAGTGAATGGATGTGGAGGTCAGCTGTAAGCGTCCACTGTGCTGTACGGTGCCGGTCCGGTAATAATACAGGCTTCACTCAAAATGACAACCAACGGCTGCCAGTCAGGATACGCCCACATTTTGCAAGAGATGGATAGAGTACAAGCTAAAAACAAACGGGATTTTTTGTACAATCAGTGCCAATAATCCAGAAAGTTATGGTCTGAAATGCGCAAATATCAAAAGGACTGAGATCGTTGGGATATAAAGATATGTTTTAAGTTTCATCAAAATCAGATAAAAATTGTGACCTCTAGAGGGTTCACATCCTTCGTAGCATACTTTTACCCAATTTGCGTACAAAATGCGGCCATTTTGTCGGGCAGTTTCATTTAGATTTTCCCGAAATTCGAATTCAAACTTCATTATGGTGGAATGGTGATATATTTAAACGGTTTTTAAAATCGGAAAAAAGTTGTGACCTCTAGAGAATTCGCATGCTAAAAATGCGATTTTTCGACCAATCAGGGGGCATAATCCAGGAAGTTACGTTCGGATATGCGTGATTATCAAAAGGAACCAAGATCTTTATGATAAAAACATATATATATTTAAAGTTTCATCCAAATCGGATAAATACTATGGCCTCTAGAGGGCCCACAACCTTGACATACCATAATTTTACATTAGGAACCACAAGCCCAAAACGCGATTTTTCGTACAATCAGGAAGTTGCAATCCGATATGCGCGAATATCGAAAGGAACCAAGATCTTTGGGTTATAAACATGTATTGCAAGTCCCATCAAAATCGGATCAACATTGTGACCCGATTTTCACGAAACAAAATTAGGGTGTAACGGTGATATAATCGAACGGTGTTTTAAATCGGTTAATAATTGTGACCTCTAGAGGGACCACAGGCTAAAAACGTGATTTTTCGTACAATCTGGGGCCATAATTCAGGAAGTTACGATCCGATATGCGTGAATATCGAAAGGAACCAAGATCTTTGGGTTACGGGCGTAAAAAAAAACCGGTTGTGGATATTTTTATGTCCGAAATTTCTTTTTTGTTGTGCCGTGTATTTTAACTAAATTGAAACATTTCTTAGCGGTAAGAATTTGAATTGTTAATTGCTTTTACAGAGAATTGATCGATTTTTTACCGGCAAGTTTTAAAATAAATCTATACCAGTTACTCATTTTAAGACGCGGACGGTCCAATGGCCTGACAAAGGCGACGACAACAATAATACGTTGGTCAATAAAGACCACGACAAAATAACGATGCAAATGTCAAATATTATCAACTCACTGTCCATTCTATGTAAAGATAATGTTTCTTGTTACCAATTGCGCGTAGATTTTCTGGATTTTTACTAGGAAGAGCTGGGTAAGTTCTACATCTTGTTCTTGATGGGAAACTAGGGTCACTTTCTCCGATCTTGTTATATGCTATAACCCTGAAAGTGAAGTTAGCATATGGCGATAGTGGCACCATTACTTGAGTCTGGTTAGCTTCCGATCTGGCGCCAAAATACCACTGGTCCTGATTGAAAGATGTGTTATACTGGATAACAAAGTACTCTATAGGTGAGTTATTTTCCATTCCAGGCGTAAATCTGATTATAGCATTGACGTCACAATTTTCTACCTGGACATTGAAAGGAGGATCTGGTATATCTGAAGAAAAGTAGACGGGGATTCAGAAGAATAGATTTATTTAATAATTAAGGCACCCTTTCATAGCCGTCGAAAATTCGCATATGAAGCAACAAATACCATATGACCTATTTCTGCTTTGCTTTTTATAGTCAAATTTCATTTTATTTGTTCTCACGACAGTACGATTTAAAGAAATTTCAGATAAACCACACCCAGTTTGATGTGGGCGATTAACCAATGGAATGAGAAATCGAAAAAATGAGTTATGTCACGACGAACACATTGTTCAATTTTATTGCAGTAATTTGTTTGTGCGTAGGGGTCTTCTTTAACAGTGAGAGGAAACTGGGGGAATCGGGGAAAACCTTCGAGGTTTTGGACAGACTACTTGCTACGTAAAAGCCGGGGATTGAAATAACCCCACTTGACTCAATGGGAGACCCTATGATCTAACGCACACGCGTTACACCATTCGATGACATGATTAAACTCCCAACGGTTCATGTATAAATAACATTACAGTGCGATCGAAACGGTTAGATTTAAGATAATAACGCAGCATTTTATTGTATAAAGTTATAATAATGACGAGCATAGGTCATACAGTTTTGGCTTGACAGTGGCTTTTACGAATACTCGTCGTCTTATTTCAACTGCCAGGGTGTCTTTTACGTGTACATCACCTTAGAGAAACTTTGGCAGTTGAAATTGACAGTTGACAGTGTGAGCACGGGCCCACGTTTGTTTCGACCAATTCGAACGACTGTGTATTATTTCTTACAATATACCAGGCATTTCGTACTGCGCCTGTGGCAAAGTGAAAACAGGCTGGAAAAATCCGAGGAACTTTCTCCACATTCGCCAGTATGGGTCCCCTGTACCTACTACTACTTTTTACTCACTGAGGCACCCTGGCACAATATAAACATGCAATATTATTATCATCGGTATTATTGCCAAAAGGTTACCGTTACATTAACGAAATGAAATGAAATGAAATGGGGTTTAACTTCCTACTGTTCTGCTCCTAAACTGGACTAATGAAGACGGGCAAACGCCATACAGTGTGCTATGAGGGAAATTTTGCCCGGTCAGCGGCGCTACGGCCTACTCTTATATCGAATTCCAACTGCCAAGGGATCTTTTACGTGCACGCCAAAATGTACACGGGACCTCGGTTTTTCGTCCCATCCGAACGACTAGACAGCTGTCCTTGTCAGGCTCTCCGTCCTGCATCACTGACAACGGGAAACCACGCCGGAAAATGTGGATGAACACCCGATCTCCAGGCTAGCGAGCCAGCGTCTTACCCATTTAGCCACGTGATCCCCCGTTATATTAACACCAAAATACATTTATGATTCATACCTTTAACAACCAATATGGCGGATTTTCTATCGCTGTCAATGCCATTCGTTGCTATGCATGTATACATTCCCGAATCCCTTACTATGGTTGGCCTTACTGTAAGGGAATTATGATAATCGCTGATTACCATTCTTTGATCATTGGGAGTGATTAGTTCGTTGTTTCTCTCCCAAAGAATTGTTAGATTATGAACTTCATCAGGATCAGTGGTTCCAGAACACGTAAAAGTTGCTTCGTCCGGAGCGTTCACTTCCAGGTCTAAGGGCCCTTGCTCAATCTTAGTTTTAAGTTTGACTGACAAAATTCCATATGCAGTTTCCTTTCCAAATCGGTTCTCCGCCACACAGGTATAATTACCGGCATCAGACAATGTCACATTCTGTAAAATCATTACAGAGACAACATATCAGAAACTTTAATTTTGATTCCCTGTCCAGGTTGAAGTCACAAAGGTTTTACGAAATCTGATTTTTTGCAACAGGGCTGGTATACCATGTTTTCGATTAGTTAGACACATCAGACATTTAGAATCAAAAGAATCCGCACCATCAGACCTAGTAGAAGATTCATATATGCATTCGAATTTGACATGTCCTTAGAAAAGAGACTGAATTTTGATTCTGGAGTCGTGGCGATCAAATACACAACAAGTCCATGCAAATACGCAAAAATATTATTATTAATAAAACATGTTGGTAAAATATGAAGAGTAATAAAGCAATAACTATCATTTTTGTGCAGGCTAGCTATGGTCTACCCAATCAACAGTACGACCATTTTGGGGTCTCGCGGACTTTTTGCATTTTGTCCCTTCCAACCAAAACATCCGTGCGATGTCTGTTGCTGGATGTTTTCAATTAAATCAGCCTTTGCTTGTTGGTAAAAACGAATGTAGAAATCTAAGCAGGGAATCCACGAATCAAATTTAAGATCAAACTGGAGAAGGGAACATACGATAGACATTTTAATTTCTCCTACCTGAATTAATAAATCTCCGTTTAGCTGAGTTATATAACGACCTCCTGTTATCTGTTGACCTTCTATAAACCAAGTAATCTGTGGATCAGGTTTACCAGTAGTAAGACAAGATATATTCACAGATAAACCTTCTGCTGTAACTTGATTAGCTTCAGGTGGTCGAATTATAGTTGGTGGTTCAGCTATAAATAAATAAAAAACTATTTAACCCTTGCAGTTGGTGACTCAGCTAGAAATAATATAAAAATTATTTAAACCTTGTTGTTAGTGACACGGCTAGAAATAAATAAAGACTATTTAACCATTATAGTTGCTGACTAGAAATAATAAAAACTATTGAAGTCTTAAGGTTGTATCAGTTTATGATGTCCATTCATATTTATACGTGTTTATCATTTATTGCACGTTAAGGATCTTTGACAGTATAGGCTATCCCACATTCTATTGTGTCAATATCTTACTATTTGAGTTCTGTACAGCACGGCGGCCACGGTGGCTTAGTGGGTAAGAGGTTGGCCGAGTAAGTTCATTGGGATTTTCCGGTGCCCCCCCCCCCAGCTACCCCGGCCTTCACAGTGGTGTAGGACTGAGGTCTAGCAGGGGACAATGTACACATTGGAGTGTACGTAAGACAACCCTTGAAAGTTGGAATTCGCAAATTTCCTTCATAGCACACTGCATGACGTATGCCTGTCTCCATTATTCCAGTCGGTACAGAAACGTGGGACGTTAAACCCCATTTCATACCATTTTTATATCTAAACAGCAGTTAAGAGATTTTCTGATCTTAATATATGTCACTTTCATCAAAAGATAAAAGTAATCAATTTACAATATATATAAATACAATATACTTACAATAGGCTATTAGGTAGGAATCACCCCAGATATAGCCGTGCCTATTTGTCACGTTACACTGGATAACCATAGCATCATCACTCGTCATGTTAACCATCATCACAGTATCAAGCGTTAAAACTTTAAATCTACCATTCGTTACTCGGGGGTCTGTAACTCCTTGAAAATTATGCAAATAGATTGAAGATAAATAACAATAACTATTATGACAATACAGTGTTTCAATCAGATAATGATAGTACAGTGTTTAAATATAATATCAGATAATGATAAAACAGTGTTTAAATATAATATCAGATAATGATAAAACAGTGTTTAAATATAATATCAGATAATGACAGTACAGTGTTTCAATATAATATCAGATAATGATAGAACAGTGTTTCAATATAATATCAGATAATGATAGTACAGTGTTTAAATATAATATCAGATAATGATAGTACAGTCTTTAAATATAATATCAGATAATGATAAAACAGTGTTTCAATATAATATCAGATAATGATAAAACAGTGTTTAAATATAATACCGGGAAAAGTAGCCGAACGACAGTATGGTATTTAAATATATACAGGATAAAATAGTGAAATGTCGGTATAGTGTTTAAATATACACAAGACAGAATTTCGGAATGACAGTATATTGTTTAAATATTTACAAGATAGAATTGTGGAATGACAATATAGTGTTTAAACATATACAAGATAGAATAGTGGAAAGGTAGTATAGTGTTTAATTATACACAAGAAAGAATTACGGAATGACAGCTTAGTCTTTAACTATATATTAGATAAAATAGTGGAATGACAATATGGTGTTTAAATATATGTTAGATAGAGTAGCGGAATGACAGTATTGCGTTTAAATATATACTAAATAAGATAGTGGAGTGGTAGTATACTGTTTAAATATATACAAGACAGAATAAAGTGGAATGACAGTATAGTGTTTAAATATAAGATAGCTAATAGGTACAATACAAGAAAATGATTATGATCATATAAAGTTTAGTTATTATGCAAGAAATTTATAGTATACTTACTCGAAAGACGTACACCATTGACGAACCACTGTACATCTGGTTCAGGAACTCCACCAGCCTTGCATGAAAAGTTAGCAGATTCTCCGATTGCAACTTCTGCGTCCTTTAGTCCACCATCTACCCAATACGGTCGCGCTGAAACAAACAACCAACATTATTATTTGAAATGAAACTGGGTCATCATGGTGTTAATATTCCTGATATTAATGACTGCTAATTGAATGTGAAGCTTAGTGTTCTCAAAAATCGACTTAAACAAAAGATTGCACATTATCACCAATGTCTTTCTTTTAAAACACATAAAAAAAAAATTAATTATTTTTCTTCCATGAAATACATTATAATACATTTCTCATAAGTGTATAATGCAAAATTAAGTTATCTTTAATGTTTACTGTTATAAAAGACAATACTAATGACAATATTATAAAACACAATTGGACCGTTTGTTCCTTTGGAAGTGTGAAATGTACAATATTCTTGACATAAATATAATAAAAGCAATATAATTATGCTGATTCTTACATTCAACACGTAATGAGACATAACTTTGACCCATCCTCGGACTTAACGTGTTGTTAGCAACACATTCATATTCTCCAGCATCGCTAAACTCTAACTGGGGGAATATTAATTCTTGACCAAAACTCGTTACTCTCACTCCTGGTGGCATAGGCCCTCCACTGATTCTCGTCCAATGTACCACAGGAGTCGGACTACAAAGAAATTCAGACACATATACTAATATCTGTATTAATAAAAACATTTAGATCATGTACTGTTTATTGTAATCATGGAACGTGTATTGTAATTATGCACTGTTTGTAACCATGTACTGTTTATTGTAACCGTGTAGGCTAATGTTTATTATAGACATGCAATATTTTTGTAACCATGTACGTTTATTGTAACCATACAATGTTGTTTGTAACCATACAATGTTGTTTGTAACCATATACTGTTTATTGCGACCACAACTTGTTTATTGTAACACTATGACCACGCACTGTTTATTGTAATACTTGGTTCTCGTCCAATGTACATCAAGAGTAGGAATAAAATGAATTACAAAAACAGAAATATAGACCTGAAGGAGGTGCTCAAACGTCAGTGTGGAATATTCAGAATTGATGGGAATGCAACCCAGTGTCACAGATAATACTTGGTTCTCGTCCAATGTACATCAGGAGTAGGAATAAAATGAATTACAAAAGCAGAAATATAGACATGAAGAGGGTTCTCAACCGTTAGTGTGGAATATTCATAATTGATGGGAATGCAACCCAGTGTCACAGATACGAGTTCTGTCATAGTCCAGTCGGTCATTAAAACAGATGTGGTGCAGATAATGGCATGCACATTCAATTTTTCGAAGGAAGAATTGACAGAAATACTGCAGTACTGGCAAAATTCTCTTTACTATCATTACACATCTGACAATAGTAAATAAAATTTAGCGTATGTTATTGTCAAAATGAGTGTATTGTGGTTTTTGTATTCCTTTAAAATCACTTACTTTCCAGAGAAAATACACTTTAGTTTAAACTCTTCACCACGAAGACCGTAATGATCAGAGGGTGACCCCCACATATAGGTTACATTATGTAAAACCTCAGCTAGAATATAAAATGTAAACGATTTTTAAGTTTTTTTAAAAAATACACCATCTGCCATGTGTTCTACAGTAAACCAGCAGCCTAATATTAAAAGATTTTTTCTTGTTTGTCTCAGTATTATTTGTAAAAAACAAAACTAAATATCCTTTAGTATTTTCAAACAAATAACAGCGTTTTTTTTCCTCAAGATCACATAAATGACAATCGTTGACTTCTTTTGAAAAAGATTTCTTCTTGTTGTAAAGGATTTCTTCAAATAAAATGTTTATCCACCGAGTAAAGGTTTAAACACACAAATTAAAGATGCCTTCCCACATGTAAATTCTGTGATTTGATATGTTTGGACCAAAACATATTCAAACTAATTGATGTATCCAAAGCTTGCTTTAAAGCTCTCTAAAACATTTCAATCGGAAGAAAATCACCCCAAGCTGTAAAAATCTAATTTAAGCAGCCTTGTTTGGGCGAAAATCCATTTTCAATTTTCAGTTTGTACAATTTGTCGTTTCTCGCTGAATATTTACCATAAATATGCAGATATGATGGATCTCAACTGGCTACCAATTGAAGTTCGTGCCAGGTTAAGGTCATCTGTATAATTTTCAAGTTGTTCCGACATACAACATCTGCGTCACTCTATCTCAATGTTCCTACCCGATGAGAAATCTTCGTAGTGCTGACAGTGTGAAACTTATGTATCAACTACTTCGACCCAAAACGTCAAGAGCTTAAAATGGTGATCGCGCTTTCGGTGTTTTTACACCAACCCTATGGAATTCTTTGCCTGTTTACTCACCCGATTAGTTTTATTACATACTTCGAGAAGATATTTGTTGAGTAATAAAACCTTCTAGTAGTTTATCGAGGGCTGGCCGTCTTTACCGCACGGTACAAATATTATCACCACTAGAAGCAACAAATTTCAGAACAAGCCAGAACTCATACCAAAATGGCCGCTTTATACAAATGAGTATTTAGGGGAATACTAACCCGACCCCTAACCCTAACCCTTTTAAGAGAAGTAAAAACTAAATTAGACCCAAGTTCAGTCTTTTTAAAAGGGTTAGGGTTAGGGTTCGGGTTAGTTATCCCCAAAATTCTCATTTATATAAAGCGGCCATTTTGGACTCCGGAAGCACCCGAACCTCGATAAACTACTAGAAGGTTTTATTTGTACCGTGCGGTAAAGACGGCCAGCCCTCGATAAACTACTTGAAGGTTTTATTACTCAACAAATACCTTCTCGAAGTATGTAATAAAATCTAATCGGGTACTTTACTTGCGGTCTATTACGAATCTGATATCTTTTAAATGCTCTTTAAAACATACCTTTTTAGAAAATGTTATTCAACGTGATGCGCTTCTGTCTAGTGGCCAATTAATTGTTTTAACATATTTATAAACGTTATGAACAGCGGTTTGAGATTTTTTAATGTACATCGCTGCATGAAAAATGAATTATTATTATTATCATAAATTCTTGGATTATCCGCTGATGCCGATTAATTGCAAAGTCTGTAGTACGTTTAAGTCTCTCAATGTTCTTACAGTTTGTGACCACATTTTTGTCATGAGCGCGTGTCATGTGTCTTTATCAGGGAATCCAATATTTTGCTACTTAGATTGAATGTCTCTACTTTCAACATATTATACCAAATTTGACATAATTAACGACCTTTCAAATACTTTAGTGGGAATGCATCTTCAAACAAATAAATATCGGAATTAAAATATTGACCGAAAATATGAAATTAAGAGTTTTTAATTTAAATACTTACTTCCTCTTGGTTGGATAAAATTTGGAACTCCAGACACAACTTGTCGTGCAACTCGATTTAAAGCCATACATACATAAGCACGATCATCTTGTCTGTCCTCAGCCTTTACATTGGTTATTCGTAGACGAGCTTAAGAAAAGAACAAAAACAAAATACAACACAGATCCTAAATTTGTAAAGTATACATTGTTCATAAGGAAAAATTGGTTAATTTTAATGTTGAAAGGGAGATAACTCCATGATATATTGAATTTCGATAGGTCCCTTCTTTAAACCTCCGATATGCTCAATTAATGGAATAACAGATGGAGTATTAATGGGAGTATTATAAAGTCCACATTAAATATGGGACTATTACAAAGGATAGAGTAGATACATGTACAATTTGATATTCTTTTTTAACAGTGTAATATTACCCGATTATTTTAAGCTTACCTTCGTGATCAAGAGTAATACGAGCATCATAATTGATGGCTAAATTATTGCCGTTAACGTTTACCGCCCAGTAAAATTCAGGACTCGGAACACTGTTAGGCAAAACACAATCAAGCGTCAAAGGATCGCCTAAAATATAAAATTAAATCTAAAAAATGAAGCGTATATTTTAACCTACCACTCCAGTTCCTCACAGAAAAACACCCTGAACTATTTAGTCCAAACAGGCATAAAACATATTTCCATTGATCAATCCAGACTGTAGGGTACTGTGTCTTACATACTCAATTTAATGTAATATTATAATCTAAAGCGCACATGTTCACACGGTTTTCGGAAAAGGAAGCATACATCCAGCAAAGAAGGGCGCTGATCGCTCTTGACCCAAATACTTCACACCAAATTTGAAAACAATGTGTTAAAAACTAGCGAGATTCTGAGTTTTTTTGTGTGTTAAGGGATCTGAGAATATTAATTTAACTTGAAACGCTACTAAAAACCATTTATACCAGGACAAATTCTGGCCGAGGCTTGTCTTTCGATTGGGATAATATAGAAAAATCGCGTGCCCGTAAAAGAATCCAAGAGTTGTCCGACCAAAATGTTTCCTGTGGCACAATGCATGGCGCGTGACCGTCTTCAATATCCCGGTTGCTGCAGAGAAGTAGGAAATGAACCCGGATTTCATTTATTTACTGTTCGTTTTTGTATTATGGTTATGGTTATTATTATGTAATATCTGTTTTAGTCTGCAAGGATACAAGGCAGTGAAACAAACTTACCAAGGTTTGGTGAATGTGTAATAGATGCAGCAGTAGCAAATTAGCAAGTTACAGGTAACTAATTACATGATCTTCAGAATATGTAATATCTGTCTCAGTCTGCAAGGATACAGGGTATTAAAACAAACTTACCAAGGTTTGGTGTATGTATAATAGGTTCAGCAGTAGCAAATTGATCCAATTTGGCTATCCTTAAATTAATATTAATTGTTGCCGATTTACCATAGCCATTATCAGCGAAACATTGATATAAGGCTTCATCTTTATCTTCTGGTCTTATGATTACTATTGTACCTACATTGGGTAACTGCACCATACGATCATCATTAGGGCTTGGGTTAAAATCTATTCCATTTCTTGTCCATGTATACCTGTTAAAATACCAACAGTCATTATTTACAATCTAATTAAAAACATAGTTTGCCAGACAACAAAACAGTAGCCCACCAGCAGCTAGGTAATTTTAATGACAAACTGAATTTCTATATGATTTTGACATAAACAATAACCCCTATAATCAATGTCAACTAATTCTACTGGGCAAGTGTGTAACAATTCCACCAAGTTTTCAAAATTCCATAGAACTCTCTCCTGTATCACATTCAACGGCTATAAAAAGTACAATAGGGATCGAAAAGTTTAATCGCAAAACACGTTTGTGCCATATTATACAATAATCTGTGGTTTACGATTTACACATTCGTATTATTAACAGGGTTGAACTATATGCCCCAATCAGCAATTCTACAAAAATTCATTGAGAACTTTGACATATAGCAACCGCAAGTTTTTAAAGTCAAAATGAAAATATAAGGTCGGCTTTATATTTCAACAAGAAGGGCAATAAAATTGGAATTATTTTTCAAAAACTATACTCGGGAGCGAGATTACAAGCATATCATGACAAGGGCAAGATCTGTGTAATTAATTGGTGTATGACTCCAAAGTGTTCACTCTTTTATCCAGCTAGTTTCTAATTTTAAAAAAAAAACACTCAAAAAATCTGGAAACATAAATCGACAAATAAATGATGTCTCTAGGAAGTTTTTGGCATGTAGAACAATGATTACAAGTGTAGATGACAAGGACAATAACTCTGCCATTAGCTGATGTGTGACTCTTAATTTAGATAAGATTAACGTCTACAAGTAGCTGAACCAGCTAAATACATCTTAGTATTTGGATTTAATGATTTTGATTGGCAGATCAATATTGGTTGTGGTACATAAGTAGATAAATCTAAAACAGACAATAAAACGTTCTCTAAAGGCATTATGACTCTCACATGAAAAAAAAAACCAAATTGTTTTTAATTTTGAATATCTTTTTAAAAATGACCTACATATCCACCAACTAGCCTACTTAGAGCAGGATATTCTTTTCATAACTAGTATTCATTAAATCACATTATGCAACGCTTATATTGAAAGTTTAAGCGTCTGCTTTAGACTTTTGTTAAAATCCAGACAACCTTTCTGAACAAAGTGATAGATTATTATAAAAAAGCAACAATTCTATTATAGGTGATTACTAGTTTAACGACATAATTATATTATAAGTCCAATTGATAATAATTGCAGGAGGACCGTACTACACACAACTAGACTGATAATACAAAACTGAAAACAAGACATAAACTACACAGACATTGCTAGTAATAAACAACTTTTATCAAATCAAATGATTGGATAGTTATAAAGAATTTTCAACATACTTTGGTTGAGGTTCTCCATCAGCTACACATGGCATCTCTACTTTTTCACCAACTTTATAATAAACATAATAGTCTGGTTGTATATATATACCAGGGGGGCGTGTTCCTGAAAAATAATTGTAAATCTATATAGATGTGGAAGAATCACGCGGCCTCAGAATCGAAAGAAATCATGTTTTTCGTTTGAGGTACAATGAAGGGGAATGAATTAACCTGAAAGTAAAATAAAAACGTTTTAACAATGCCTGTATTACATTAGCCTAGATTAATGATATATTAATGCAGGGTTACATAAATTACATGTAAGCATGGAACGTAGAAAGTAACGAAGATAAACGGAGTTTAACGTTCTATTATGTGCATCGACGGGGCTAATAAAGAATGATGGACATACGCTATACGGTGTTTTTTGAGGGAAATTTAACCCAGACAGCTGCGCTACATCTTACTTTTCTGCACCAACCGGGTTAATGAGAGAGAGAGGGGGAGAGGAGAGAGAGAGAGAGAGAGAGAGAGAGAGAGAATGGGGTTTAACGTCCACTCGACTAACACATGGTTCAATTTTATTTCAATAATTTGCTTGCGCGTAGGGGAGGAAACCGGAGGACCCGGAGAAAAACCATAAGGTTGGATAGGCGACCCTACTTCTTGTCACGTCCAACCGGGGAATCGAAACCCCGCCAGTTGACTCAATGACAGACCGTATGATACAGCGCGCGCGTGCTAACCATTCGTCCATTCATCCCCCCCCACCGGGTTAATGAAGACGGTCATTCGCCATGCATTGAGCCACAAGGACCATTTTGACCGGACAACCTACTCTTATTTCGAATTCCAACTATCAAGGGATTTTTTTTACGCGCACACTAATGTGTAAACATGAACATGCGTTTTTGCCCCGTCTCTATTCCACCCCTGTTCCTGTCATAACCAAAAGAATTGAGGAAGATCAATCTCTATCTAAGGACAACCAATATGCAGTCGCTGAACATCTGCGGAACAAGATTTACACGATGCGATGGTCTGAAGTAGAAGTACTTAACTCCAACCACACGTCATTCACTATATTGTCATTCATCAAAAGTATTATGTAAATCAGATTAGTCCCTTATGATGAAATTCGTTATTATTTATTTATAATCATTGTAGTATTTGGTATACTCATCACATGTAACTCTTATTTATGCATTCAATAAGACATTAGTCTAAGATAATAGTAACGGACTGCGTTGTATAACCCATTAATTACTTAAAACCATTTTAGCAATTGAGTAATGCCAATTAACGCTTTGATCTAGTTCATTTTATATGTATTCATTTAGATCGTTTTTCCCTGTAAATACTTAGGGTTTTTCATCATCGCTTTGATCAAGTGCATGTTATGATGTACATATTTATGACCTCATTGTATAAATACTTATTATTTTATGATCAGTAGTGGAATACCGCGTTTTATCAGTGAAATAAAAGTGTTATTCCACTGGCTAAAGTAGTCCATGTTGTTTTTGCCTAAAATGATTGTAAAATCATAAAATAAATAGAACATTTGTCGTTTTGTCGTGAATAACATATTTTATTTCATCTCTAAGCAAGAAAAGGTTTCTTGCTTCTCGATGAAATAAAATATGTTATTCACTCTAAAACGACAAATATCCTCTATGTAGTCCAGATGGTTGCTATTTTCCAAGATGGTGGTGATTATTCTACCAGTATGGATATCTGACAAAGAAGTAATTGTACAATCAATACATAATTTGAGATTAAAGAAATAGTCCGATCCGTAGGTAAAATTCGTGGAGCATACTTTATTTTGTAGGTTTTGATGTGTGGTGACAAAACACCAATGTTGACAATTTTTGGAGTAGGTTATTATAGTAGTGGTACAAGATAGAGGACCTGGCAAGGGCCAGCGTATAATCGTTCGCATGGGGCGAAACACGTCCTTGACTGGATAGAGACTACCCCTCCTTCTGTAGCATTTTCCTCTGAAAATATGCATAGCTGTCCGATCCTGGTGTTTTCTAGACCAAGAGAGGAAAATAATAGGTGAATGGTAAATCTACAATTTCGTTTGATATAACGGTACTACGATTATATTTGATCTACTTGGTCATTCGATCTTAATATTTCATTTGATTTGATTAGACCATTAGCCTTTATGTTGAAATAACTGGACAGTAACATCAGTAACAGTAACTGTTTTCATCACTTTGCAGGTGTGAAGGGTACAACCTTTAATTCAGTGACGGTGAGACTCAGGGAATAAGGCGCTGGCTGGGTAATTTGAAGATCCCGTGTTCGATCCAGGTGTTGGTCGCGGAAGTTCCTAGTGATATTCCGTCGAGGTCACCCATTGTCAGTGATACGGGACTGTCATTGATGTATTAAGAGCATGCATTTAAATTATCTATTGTCAGGAAGATTCTACAACTACTATCGATTAGACAGGGTTCTTTACATATTTTGTTTGTGGATCTCACCAGCAACGCATGGCAACAGAACTGTTTCATATTCGGTATAATAAACTTGGTGTGTTGGTTGTTCTGTTATACTTAACATTATATGAAATATTTAACATGTTAAAGAAAAATATTGGTGTCAGTCATTATCACCTATGTGATAGAACTGGATAAATACGTTCCAAATATAATTTTAACGCAGAGATCATTGCTACGATAGTATGCGTTGGGAAGATTTCAAGAAAGGGAAGTGACGAACGCAAAAGGAAAACACACGTTATTCTTCTATATAACTGACTGAAATGACGAATGATAACAGATACACAGGCGAATTTCTGCTCACTAATAATGTCCTTCAATAATGTTGATATTAAAAGACGTGACAGTTCTTACACATGAAGGTCAATGGTCTATTATATTAAGATCTACCACCTGATGTATCGGTAATTTTGATGGTACAGGTCAAAAAGTATTTACTGTATCTTTATTTACTTTTATGTGTCGTTTTACCGCTTCACAGGAGGCGCAATAAGTTCATGAATGATTTACTTTTTTTTAATATTATCAAATCACATAAATCACACATCATTTGGATTCTTATATGAATTAATCTAATTTCGTAGTGGTTTATTAAATATTTAAAAATATTTGTAATTAAAATTAACACTTTGCTCATTGAAACTTTTTGCCCCCCCCCCCTTGCTCCCCCCTAGTTACGGGCCTGCATTGAGCTAGAAAGTGATGAAATTGAAATTTTCGCTTACAGAATAACACGCGGATAACGATTTAAAGGGTCTTTGGCAGTATGATGAAACCGGTGTTACTCGGAAAAAACTTACTGGGATCGAAACCGCCTTTGACCTAAATAGCAAGCATTGGACAACTCGACCATCTAGTCCCACAAGATGTGGACGTCTTGCATCTTAATGCCCCTTGTGATACTTCAAATTTCCTCCGCTTGTCAGTGCACACCCGTAAAAAAAAATAATATCGAAAAAGTATTTCCTATTTGCGAAATTTATTTGCAGTTGACCTACTATTTTGATGAACAGGGTTATTAAGATTTGTCGAAAAATACTATTTTTGAACACTTTACTCAGTCATCAGTACTGTTTCCATATCTTTCATATAAACATATGACCACAATTCCTTCCATAGCCAATATTGGAGTTTGTCAGGGAAAGGGACTCCGGTATCCTGACTTGACTTAACTTGGGTTTAACCTCCACTTCCACCGAGATTGATATCACATACAATCCCTCAAATCACGCCCTGGGACTTCAAAGTTTTAACACGAACCGCTCTGCGAACAACTCGGTGATCGGATAAAATTATGGCCACAATTGCTTTCCGTAGTCAACCAAACTGCGTGCAAGGAATTTGCAGCCATATTGACACCAAATCTTGGTTCATTCATAATGTCGTTGCTGTCTGTGACGAATGAGACAGGAAGCGTAATATACAGCATTATATCCCTGCTTTAAAATGTAAGTATTCGTTAAATGAATGATTAGCAGTCATTGCCCATTGTCAAGACGGATTATTACGACGTTCATCTACATAACCTGTGTGTTAAGAGTTTATCGATCAACTCTATTAATCAAAACAGGTGTATTCATTTGAGTAAAATATCGTTATAGGTTTCTAATATACTTACTTGCTAATAAACCAGGTAGATAAATAACAAATAAAAACATCCACATTCTTTTAAATTTCAAGTTTAGAGTCTCCATAATATAACGCACGAATAGTCAATGCACAGGGTAACATACATACATATATACATACATACATACACATATATTTATAGTAACCGGACAGCGTAGACAAAATATATGTTGAAATAGTCTAGCCGTGAATAAGCGAATGGCGTTAAAATTTATGTGTATAAAGGGCCAGCCACGTGACTCGTTTACATTGTCGGTTAAAGTCTTTGGTTGTATTTATGTGCGGAAGCAAAGCAATGGGGCAGGGGTCTCTTACGGCCACCCCATAAAGGTGGTCGTATATAATTATGAACTTCTAGTTATATCACTATATTTGTATATACAAACGACCCAAATTATAATTATATCACTATATTTAAATGTACAAACGCCAATACTTATACTTATATTTGTCGATACAATCTACACTAACACCTATTAACAGAAATAGTTATGAGCTCGCCGGTTGCGATTTTCACCTGATTCACTGGTTGAAATGTAAAACACCCCTCCCCTCGTCTTCGCCCTCATGACGGCAAACACAACCCTAAAATATAAAGACAGACAAAGGTATGTTGAAGTGTTATGTTTTTCTACGCATTCTTTCATTGAAATCTTTCTATGCATCAAATAAAGAACTACCCCCCCCCTCCAAAAAAAGAAAAAAAAATATAATGTTAAAGACGCATTATGCAAAAGCTAAATCTATATTTATATAAACTATTATTTATTCTTTTATTATGGCGACACGGCACTAATCAACCCTCTAGATGGCCGAGACTTAAATGGATTTGAACACCCGCGAGAAATTTTAAAGATACAATTGATAAACTAGACGTAGTTAATAAACGATCTACGCTACATCTTTAATAAGAAATATCTTCGTCCAAAATAAAGTAATTTGAATGAAATATTCAATATTCATTTTGTACTATCTCTTTTTGAATTATATAGCAACACGAACACGGATCATCTCTTTATCTAAATAATACATAATGCATCTTTAATATCCCAACAGTTCAATAGCCAGAAGGCATGGTAGCCCTAAGGGCCGATATAATAGTCCAAAACCAACGGCTGGATCAAACCCCATATATTAAGGCCACTTTGTGAATTGTGTTTTATTATCTTTTTATAATAAATTCCTAATTTGTGCTACAATTGTAATTAAACACGGTCATAAACGGAATAGCCCTTATGTTACCCGTATAGCGATGGCAAAGCGAAAGAAAATCACAAAGCCTGTGTCCAACCAGGATGACAGCTTCTTCTGACAGCACCAAGGGCGTGGATTTGTCATAACTTGGGGGTGGGGGGTGGGGGGTGGGACGAACCCTGGAATCTGGAACATTTCATTACCAAACGAAATAAATAATTACGAACAGTTTACTGCACCAGTGTTATTTCGATGGAGGCTGTAACTATGTGTAATATGATGACAATATGGAAAAATTGACTACCTACATCAAAGCTGCATAAATATTAATTGTTCATGAAGTTAAGTGAATCGTCCAAAGACGTTCGTTCTACGATCAGGACTGTTCTCTTTGAATATCTTGACGACATGATGGGGGTTATTATGCACCGCACACGCCATCAAGTGGCTCAGTCCGTTTTGCGTCATGGAGTTGCGCAGCCGAGTTTTGATACGGCGCAGAGTTCTGAAGGATCTCTCGGCGTCCCCCGCCCTAAATCCGCGCCCATGGACAGCACTGTGAATATTCTGACTGCACTTTGAATATTCTATTGTATTCCAACTGCATTAGAGTTACATTCGACAGCTAATACACCGGAATGTGCAAGAATCATTCGGAGCAGGTTTGAAATGCATTCTAATAGTAAGTGCAAGGGGACTGCACCAAACACAATTACACAAAACAAATCTACTGATAGGACACACTACGCAGAAATCACAAACAAACGTACTGTGAGACCCCCCATATACAGTCATTTGAATATATGTTACAAGTCCCTGTGAAATTCCGATGCATAAGGAATGCTGGGATATGTCTTAGCAGACGGCAATCGAACAGACGAGTAAGGCGCGCGAAATGGCGATGTAAGGCTGGTGTGCCGGCGGTTAGCCCATGGCCATAGTTACATCATTGTATTAGATTGTCAATTATGATATAAGTATATTGTTCGGTAGATAATAGTACTGATTATGAACTGGTACGTACGCATGTCGAAGTCAAGCTTGGGTGCTGGCGGTTAGCCCTTCGACAAGTGGCAGTTAGTTAGTCCTTCATATTGTCCTGAGATGTAGGCCTATAAAGTCGTGTGAAAGAAGTGAATTCTACAATTATGATCTAATACTAATAGCAAGTGTTTTGTAAAGGTGACATTTTATTATTAACTAAATAAACTTTATCATATACTTTATGCAATAGACTTTGCTTCAAGAAATAATAACATGGATGGGTCACTGATAACTTAGACTGAGAGTGAGCCCCTTTTGACCACTCTTTTATTTTGGATTCAAAGAACTCTCTGTTTTTCGTTCTTGGCATGTCGAAGGCCCGGGGCGTGACACGTACATATCAGATTTAGTATTCAAACAGCATTCTTACAAAACTGTAAGAACTTTTATCAATTTGATATTCCCTCCTGGCGCGAATTTTAAGTGCTTGATCCCCGCTGATTCCGAATTACTGTGATGAGGCTTTAACATATCAATGATACTTTCTCATAAAGCTACATAGCAATTTAGGGGGTTTATGAAAAGAAATAACTAGCTTTCAACGGCATAGACCAACATTTGTCAATACAGCTTAGCATTTTTCTAACAGAAGATCTTTGTTGTCACTTTTTGATACTATTTAGTTTAACTTTGACAGTTTGTTTAGGCCGTCGTTACTTAGTCTATATCTATTCATCGAGGGACAATTAAATGAATTGCGCAATCTATACATTTTCATACACTGTATTGCCCATTCGCCCGTTCTTCGAGTGCAGGTTGTAAGATATTTTAAACGTTGATAAAGGGTGCACAGTTGAACTTAATACTATTTATTGTTAAGACACGTAGCTACATAATACTGATCGGTGATTGGTCATAAATGAGGTCAGTAGGGAAACAGGAGTGTATAGTTCACACCATGAACACACCCTTACAGTGTTTGATTCAACATTAAAATCTTATTACATGAGCTATGGAGGTTAAAAATAAAAATACATTTCACTGACATGTACAAATATTATCAACACAATTTAAAGTAATAATTCAACACAGTCCTTGATTATTTAAAAGTCACAGGTAACCCAGTTAACATTGATGGTTAGATTTTGGTTAGCGTCCAATAATGGTAAAATTCTTTGGTTAAATTTACGTTACTTTTACGTCATAATGGTTATGGTTACTTCTACGTCAGAAAATGACGTAAATGTAACGTAAACTTTATGACGGATTACTAACCAATTTTTTTCCCTTTGAATACTTTTTGATTAAATAACATTACAAGTGTGTGCACATTCTAACAATTGATATATAGTCGGAATTCAGACATAATAATTATATATGTATTATTGGTTATAATTCTAACGTTAATCTAACGTAAATTTTACATCAGGTTTCTAACCGTTAGTTTATGGTTAGTTTTCTGACGTAAATCTAACGTTAGTTTTCTGACGTAAATCTAACGTTAGTTTTCTAACGTTAATATAATGTTAGTTTTCTAACGTTAATGTAATGTTAGTTTTGTGTCATAATTTTAACCGTTAATTTAACGTTAGTTTTCTAACGTAAATCTAATGTTAATTTTATAACATAAATCTAACTTTAGTTTTCTAACATAAATCTAACGTTAGTTTTCTAACATAAACCTGATATTAGTTGTAAAACGTAAAACAAATGTCAGTTTAATGTCATGATACTAACAATTAAGGGCCTGACAAGACAGCTGTCTAGTCATTAAAATGGGACAAAAATGGGTAAGACCCTGGCTCGCTAGCCTGGAGGTCGGGTGTTCGATCCCTGCATTGGCCGAGAAAGTTCATCCAGATTTCCGTGTCAGTGATGCAGAACGGAGAGCCTGACAAGGACAGCTGTCTAGTTGTTCAGATGGGATAAAAAAAAACCCGAGGTCCCGTGTAAACATTGGCATGCATGTAAAAGATCCCTTGACAGTTGGAATTCGATATAAGAGTAGGCCGTAGTGCCACTGTGGGGGCAAAATTTCCCTCATAACACACTGTATGGTGTATGGCCATCTTCATTAGCCCAGTTCCGAGCAGAACAGTTGGACGTTAAACCCCATTTCATTTCATTACATTTTGTATCCATTTCTAAGTGCCCAAGAATAGAGATCTAGCTCCTTTAATAGTTGCGGTCTGTAGGTGACACACAAAGAGAAAACGAATGAATGAATGATCTACTCTCATTTCAAATTCCAAATGTCAAGGGTTCTTTTACGTGCACACCCACGTGATGGACTAGACACTGTTTTTTTTAGGTTCTCTGTCCTACACCACTACTAACAAAGGGAACTTTCTCGACCAACATGGGGATCACGTTGGCTAAGTGGGTAAGACGCTGACTCGATAGCCTGGAGGTCGGGTGTTCGATCCCTGTATTGGCTGAGAAAGTTCATCCAGATTTTCCTGCGTGTTTTCCCCTTGTCAGTGATACAGGACGGAGGGCCTGACAAGAACAGCTGTCTAGTCAGGGATGAAAAACTGAGGTCACGTGTACACACAGGAGTGCACATGAAAGATCCCTTGGTAGTTGGAACTTGATATAAGAGTAGGCCATAGCGCCGCTGCCTGGGCAAAATTTCCTTCATAGCATACTGTATGGCGTATGCTCGTCTTCATTAGCTCAGTTTAGGAGCAGAACAATAGGACGTTAAACCCGATTTCATTACATTTTTATCGACCAACACGGAAATTGAACCCCTCATTTGCTAGCCAGTGTGTTACTAATTACTAGAGAGAGAGAGAGAGAGAGAGAGAGAGAGAGAAATGGGGTTTAACGTCTACTCGACACAAACTAGGTCATTTCGGGACTAACATATGGTTTAATTTTTATTTACATAATTCGCTTGCGCGTAGGGGTCTTTAGCAGTGGGAGAAAACCGGAGGTTGGACAGGCGACCCTACTCCTTGTCACGTACAACCGGGGATTCGAAACCACGCCAGTCAACTCA